GCAATGTTGCACGCCCTAGGCGCAAACAGGATGTCCCAAACACGAACTTACGTAAACAAGCGCCAAACCTAGGTATGACTCACTGTAATGTAATTACGTACGGAAATTATTTCTTGCTTACGCATTTTCCACGCAAACAGTTAACTAAAGAATTACATTCCTATGTGTACACGAGGCATTCCTAATTAAAATATAGATTTATGACTAAATAATTACTGTCCGAAATAGTGTCTTTTGACTCTGTCACAAGATTGTGGTAGTTTGTGTAATACACAAATATCTAATTGTCACCAATTCCAAGATCATTGCAAATCAAATACATGTAGCAGAAGTGCACTTGCACCCCTCATCTTGTCAGTGTGATAACTGAGATCAGAAAGCTATATAAGTGGGGGGTATCGTTACTCCCTTACAATTTTCTGCTGAGATTCAATCCTATTCCTTTGGTATTACATTGGAGCAGAGTTTGTGTGACCTAACTTTGGCATGATTCAATCAGTGAGCTAGCTGTTCTCTCTGACTTGGATTAGCCCAAAGGTTGTTTAAGGGTTGACATTTGGTATTCTTCCAATAAATATAGTATATATACTTGCTGTTATAATAGCATACTAACCAACTAAGACTTTCTCCTAAGACATCCAACTCCTTTTAACTTTGTGTATAAAACCTGGATGCTCAGACTTTATGTTTGGAATATATTTTCAGGCTTTTAGAGAAGTTTTTGAATACCTTATAGAAGACTTCAAGACCTACAAACCTTTGCTGTCAGCTGTGAAACACGAGTATGAGATGATGCTGGTTGATCAGAGAGAAACAATAAGAGAACTAGAACCACTCAAGGTACTCATTTAAGGTTTTGAATAAGCTCAGGTCCAAGAGGGATATCCATTAGCTTTTGTTGGGTATTGTTCCAGTAAGACACACTTGGTTCTTTTGGAGGCTGTATAGGGTACTCACAAGGCACTTACACTTGAGTGCCTCTCTGACATTGTACCTTACTAAAGTTGTCCCTTATGGCACTTATTGGTACCTTTATCATGCCAGGGTGCTTGATTCAAGAATTCCTTTAACCATCTGTGCCCCAATTGAGCCATATGGCTTATGTACGCAACCGGCTCAAATTCCAAAGTGAGGCCATATGGCTCTACACATACATAACATACATATGTACAAATATCCTTTCTAGCCATCAAAATCAGTGTTATAGCTTTGTTTTTGGGATCATTGTAAATTAAACGATAGGAGAAGAGTTTATGTTTCATTTGATGCCAAATATGGAATAGTTTGCTGAATATTGTTTGGGTCCTGATTAATCTTGATCAATGTTTGCCCTTCACAGAGTATGTTGGTAACTGTCTCTGAACAATGTGAGAAGAAGCTTCTTGCAATGAAACAAGAAGAAAAGTCAGGTAAATTAGGTCTGATTTTTACAGTAACCATAAGATTCTACTGCACATAGTATGGTAACTTAATCATTAACATCTTTTCTTCTTGAACCTTTGATTTAGATATGATAACAATGAAAGGAGAGAACAGAAAGCTCCAGCAGATAATAGAAAAATTGAGGTATTAATACTGATTGACACAGGAAGGAGAGATACTGCTAAAGTTTACCATTTTAATCTGAAAACTTTTTTAAAAATTCAAAAATCTACTTTAAAAAATCTCTTTAGCACCATGATCCACCCGCCCCCTCCCACCCACATGTTAATAACAATACTCTTTTTTGATTATTTTGGCATACATTTTTGTTATCAACTCTTGACCTTATTTTGCTTTTCTATTAAGAGAGGAGAAGGTTTCCCTTCAAGTACAAGTGGAAAAGGTAAATACTGGGTGCCTGAATACCTTTTGAACAATAAAATATGTCAATAAAATATTTCTCATTTATCCTCTTTGTAGCTTCAAGAAGAACTTGGTGCTGAATATTTACGCTATCGGAATGAATGTGACGCAAGGTAATTTATATTTAACAGGAATTATCCAGGCATGTACCCATTTCAGCAAAGCTGGGATTGTTCAAAAATACCTTTCCATCTCATGAAAATTCCAATCTTCTTTTGCTGAAGCTGGGGTCTGACAGGCTAGTCCAGAACTGGAGCCACTTTTCACAATTGTGTTTATTGTTTTGTGCGCGCAATGATCCTATGAGCTCTTTATCCTGTCCGTTGACTCTCAATCCGGATCTTCTTCTCATATTGTTACCGTGTAAGCGCAGATAAAAGTGGGTCCAGTTCTGGACTAGGGTCGGGCAGGAATATTTTTTGGAACCATGCATCTTGCTTCCATTAGAAAGCTAACAAACCTTTGCATAACAGGAAAATGTTGATTGCCGACATCAATGAACTGAAGTACCAACAAGAAGACTCCAAAAAATCAAGCATGGAGGATGACAGAGAGGGCAAGGAAGATGTCACCTTTCTCAAGCTTGCTCTCAAGTAAGAAACACTTAATGTTAAAATCAGTGGTTTGTATGAGGGAGGTCCTTGTCCATGTCTAAAAAATAAAAATCTACAAAGCTTTCACTGTTGTATCACAGTATGGGACAATCACAACAGAGCTAGGCTCCAAACTAGGTGAAAGCCCAAAGATCGAATTAGAATTTAGAAGTTGATTTTTGAGGAGGGAGGAAAACCGGAGAACCCGGAGAAAAACCCTTGAAGCACAGGAGAGAACCAACAAACAACTCTGCTCACATACAACATTGAGATCGGCAGGACTCAAACTCAGGCCGCATTGGTGAGAGGTGGCGTATTAGCAGGGCATGCCACCGGTGCTTCCCATGCCATTATCTATGACAATTTTTCAGGAGACCATTTTCTGCTCACCCCCTCCCCCCCATCCCCTAGAATCCTGTAGTGAGTCCTGAAGCTCAAAATCCTAGATCTGTCCTTGGAAGTATTATTTACATTAACCCCCCTCCCCCCTTTCCCCAAAATCTTTCAACCCTCTATTCTTAATTATTTTATGAAAATTATATTGGTGGTCTTTGATATAATTTTTTCCTATTTCAGGAAAGCAAGAGAGGATTTAGAAATGAAGAATCAGAAGCTGGCCAAAATGGAGGCAGATTATGGGGATGTAGTCCCTAGGAGAGACTTTGAGAAACTGGAGGCTTTGCATAGTGTATGTATGAAATTGTTTTGTCATAATTTAGGTTCAATTTAACAGAGATTGGCTTGATATACTGTTAGACATAATATGCCAAAAAAAACCACTTTTATCAGTAGTAACCATTCTGAAACCCTCTTATCTCACACACACATTTTAAAGTGCCATTATAAGTCAAATTTCTTAAGTGATCAATTTTTGACAAATTTGAAATGTCTCACTGTCTCATTGCAAAAAGGGTTGGGTGCACCCATATTCATTGTGTAGTTCCAGAAACTATCCATATTCACCCCACAGAGGAATTTGGAATTTCCGAAGGGTGGGGGGGTCAGAGAAAGAACAAAAATTACAGAGTTTGTATGGAAAAAAATTGGAATTTCTGGGGGTAGGGGGTATAGATAATTATTGGAACTACACATTCCCTGCTTGCGAAGTCTCTCTCTGCCAAGAATCGCCAGTGAGGGAGATTATACTAGCAGGGAACCATATTCAACAATGCTCATTCATTCATGTAAAATCTTGTTTCTTTTACAGAAAATAGAGGCTGATAAAGAGAAACTGGCTGAAGACAACAAGAAGTTAATGCAAGAACACAAGTAAGGATGGTTGGTTCATGTTATAGTCACCAAGTGTCTGAAAATGTGTTAGAAAGGATTAGAATATATCTTTTATACTGTATGAAAGCATCTGATTCCATGGAAAAAATACTAAAAAATATATCAAAATATTTGGCGAGACGTTTGTTGGCATAACAACTAAGATCCAAGTCAATCATGGTGGCAATGTTGTCACATGCACCCAAAGAAATGTGTAACTAGAAGGACTGTAAGTCATCTCAACCAGTGTGAAACCAAATCAATATTTTCTTTTATTACTGCAGTGCTTTGCTGGATGTCTATAAGAAGGTGGTGGAACAAAGAGATCAGCTGTCCCTGGAATGTGATCAAATGAGAAGGAGTGCTACTCCAAGGTACTGTAGACAACTAAATTAATAAGTAAAATAATTGATCTTGGAATATAAAATTTAAAATAACTTAACATTGGTAAATCGAAAGGTAAATGCAATTTACGAAAAATATGAAGTGAATGAAATTTGAATAGACAAATAAAAGGATAAATTAATAAATGTTTGTGTAGGAAATCGCATGATCTCGAGACATACAATTTTATAATATTTTAAGAACTTTTGAGAACTTTCAAAATATCACGAATATCTATGAATTCCAAATTGTACAAGAAGATAGCTAAGTGCAGTTTTTTGTTTCTAATACACTCAGCAAAATTTAGCAACTTAATTGGGATTTAATTGTACTCCTCTTGTCCAATCAGAATCGAGTAATTTTGTTGAGTGTATTATAAGAATGGAAATGGATAAATAAACTTGAGTAAATAAAAAAGTGGATGGAATTTAAAAGAAATGAAGGCTTTATTAACAGATTATTCTTTCCGTTATCAGACCAAGTTGGGAGAAATGTGGTCAGTACATCGAAGGAGGCACTGAACGATGGAATGAAATTTCTCAGAACAAAACCAGTGATGAGCTAGTTAACGTACTTCTGGCTGAAATGACTGGCCAGGATATAGCACAGATCCAGTCAGGAACATCTACTGCTGCTGAGTACTTTGAAGGGCAGGTGAGTAGTAGCCCCCCTGGAAATATAGAAAAGAATATTGATGTCAGGAGGGAGCACTTTGAAGGGCAGGTGAGTAGTAGCCCCCCTGGAAMTAAAGGAAAGAGTATTGATTGATGTCAGGAGGGAGCACTTTGAAGGGCAGGTGAATAGAGACCCCCCTGGAAATATAGAAATGAGTATTGATTGATGTCAGGAGGGAGCACTTTGAAGGACATTTGGGTAGTGACCCTACATCAAAAAATATCTATCGAAGAATTCTTATGATTATTACATCTAGTCACCTCGCTACGAGCGCTCTGATTGCACGAAGGCTGTGTTGTATTAGTGACGGAGGGCGATGGTGACGCCATCCGCGTGTTGTACAGTAAGAAAGCTGTTCATTTGTAAAATAGAAAATTACGCAAGTTCTTGCGCGGTTGTAAAGCACGCAGGGATTAGCAGAACTAGAGAGGAGCGTTAGGAGAAGCACGACGCGTAGCAAGTTTTTATTTCTTTTATAACTAGAAATGTAAACACGTATAGCCTTTCTTTTGAAGAACGAAGAAACAGAAAATGCGTGCGTGTTGTGTACTCTCATAAAGCACGCGCCTCAACCAATAAATTTATAAAAGCCATTTTATAAGAGAGGATAGCTTTTTTTATTCTGTAAATCAACTTGACAATTAATCTATTGTTAAATCCTCAAGCCCTTCTTCTAATTGTGATATATCTGTCTGTATATGTCAGGGTACAGGTCCAGAGGTGCCACGGTTCCTTAGGTACGAGGGTAAAGTTCGCAATCGTCGTCTGGGTAAAAGAGACACGTCTCTACTCATCAAAGATATATGGCAGGAAAAGGCGGCACACGATGCTGAGGTCAGTAAACTGAATTTGCTCACAAGAGACGCTAATTAGTTTATAATTAAGTAAAGTAATGGGAATGGGAGGAATGGGAAGCAGCCAAAATGATATATGCTAATACCAATTAACCCCCACCCCTTATTCCATGTCCTCAATACCAATTTTCGGCAACATATCCTTTGTTTTCGCAAGTAATCGTCAAACTTTGTTTCTTTTTAGTAAATATTTTTCACGTTTATTTGGTATCTTAAAGAAAAAAACAACAACAAAAATTAAGATTCAATGCAAAATTTTAACGCGGGTTCCCTGGTTTTACTTGCAATTCCACGTGAAATACCCTCTCGAAGATACATCATATCTAGGCAATCAGCACTCGCGTTTATTATAAGCATGGGATTTTAAAAAACATTACTTTTCCCAGTTCTCTTTTTGTTTACTTTGTCCTTGTACTGTCGCGGTCTCGAGGAGATAAAGTGGGTCTATTTCTGGACTAGCCTTCCGCTGCTTGCTATAATGTCAATCTGTATATTTTACCTCCAGAAACCTCCAGATCGCGAAGATTTAGGGGACTTCCTGTACGTGTACCTACAGCGTAGATTTGGCGTAGAAAACATGATAATCGAATGGGGTTACAACCTGTACGACGCGTGTAACAGATACAACCATGATCCAAGGATTGGTTTATTCTATGGTATACTACAGAAAGAGGTAAAAAAAAGTCTGAAAAGAGAGTGAGACTCGCTCTGAGCACAAGGGATGATGTCAAGACAATGTTCCATTAGAGACGTAGTTTTATCGTTTTTGGTTTCGGGAAGTATACCCCCTCCCATTCATGGGTTTTAATCGCAGCTGAAAGCTCGAGGGGTATAGGAGTACTTATGTGCGGCATCAGTGAATGGGTTTTAGATTCTTGACCCATTTTAAATGGGTTACCGACTAGAGTCTGGAATGAATGTCCAACTTTTAGCTCTGATTGTTTTTAGACCGGTTTACTGCACGGTACGGTTTTACGTCACAAATGTCGCGCGCAACATGCCGACGACACGAATTGCTTCTTATAAATCGACTGTACGACTTGCTAATGTCTATAAATGGAAGCTAAAACTGTAAGCATGTTGCGCGTGACAGTTGTGAGGAAAAATCGTATGTGTATATAAACCGGAGGCTTACGACGTTTCCAGTTTTAAAAACTTGGAAATGGGCTACGCTATTCTTATTAGACATAGTTATTTGATAAGTATATAGAATGAGCTGGTTCCTTACCTGTGTTTTTACTGTTGTTTGTAGATTGATGAAGCGGTCTATCATGACCAGTTAGTGATGCTAGAAAAACTCTACAACTCCCTCACCAAAGCCGATCTGGCATCTGGAAACCAGGTAACAATATTACTACACTAGAGAGGTCCTATCAGGGGGTGGGTGGTGGTATCCATGTCATCCGTCTGAATTTCACAACTGCCCAGTATGTCGTAATTTGGAACATTCTTATAATTAGGATAGATCTAATTAGGGGTATGGCTGTTAAAACTTGCAGTATAAGGACGTTGATCTTGATGAGAGACACCGTGTCGTTCTATCATTCTGATTAGATGAGCAATGATAGCGTCCTTAATAATCGACTCGATCCTATACCGTAGCTGTTATATTGATTTCAACAAACAAATTCAAGAGAACATTAACTATTAGAGAAGGAATCTCTGGTATCCATGCTTATATCCATCATAGGCACGCACGTGCAGAGCAAAAGATCAAACGAATTATTCCAAAAACAGCATCAAAGATTCTAAAAATAGAATCAGAGTGCTCATGATGGAGTGCGGGGATTCCTTCTCTTAGTTAATTTCTTTCGTTAAAATGAATTCCATAAGATCAAACGCAACTACACGATGGACCAGGCGTGGATCTAGGGGAGGAGGGGCATGGGGAGCGCACCCCCTAGATGGGCTAATATCTAATACATTATTGGTGTTTGAGTTTGTAAGCAGAAGGTACACGCCCTCCTAAAACGAAAATCCTGGATGGTGCACTCCCCACCACCCCTAGTAAAAATTCTGGATCCGTCCCTGTGAACCATGTTCGCAATACAAGAAAAGGTCCATGTCTCGTGCCGTAATTTTTTCGTTCAAATTTAAATTAAAAATGTACTTTTATTTTCATGCATGGAAGAGGTTTAAATTGCATAAATAATAATAACTACACCAGTTGGGCAAGGAGGGGTCAATGTATCTAAGATAAACCATTAACCAGCGTTTAAAACCGTACATTAGATTATGGAATACTCTTTATGATAAATCCCAACTCGACTTGTTATTCGCAGGGATCACTGTCACGTTCAGACATGGAGCAGTGCCTGAGGGCATTTTTCCCCTTGAAAGATGATGACTCGATTGAAGCATTACTCAAAGCAGCAGAGCAAGAATCTCCTGGTGAAACCATTCAGTATAAGAACCTTTTTACAGAGGTACGCGTTAGTTAATTCTGACTCTCAGTATCATTACGGGAGTACCTTAAAGGCCTATTTACACGGCACGATTTGCCGCGCGCGACTTGACGTATACGGCAAATTTTGGTACCATTTACACGAGCACAACTTGTCGCACGCGGCACGAAAAAACGCGAGCAATTTACTCGTCATTACAGCAAATATTTCTTGTAAAATGCCACCATACACAGTTGAGAAGTGCAGTAAATAATCATGTCTACCTTGTTATTTGATAAGATCAATCAGAATTTTTGCACTTCGTGTTTAATTACCGGTAAAGACGTTTTCATGGAAATCCGCCATTTTGTTTTGGAATCAACTAGTTTCAGTCCCAATCTCGGTCAAAATCGTCATATTTACGTCATTTTCCTACGGCATGTCGTAGGGTTTTAAGCCAAAGTTTAAAATGCTACGACAAGTCTTGAGGCCGCGTACGTCTGTCGTAGGACCATTTACACGACCCGATTTTGAGCTGATTTTGCCGTATACGTCAAGTCGCGCGCGGCAAATCGTGCCGTGTAAATAGGCCTTAAGTCTCCTTCAAAGCCGTCATTAGTGATGTCGGTCCCAGATACTCCAGCAGGCTATAAATTATAACCTAGTAGTAGCTCATCCAATCTGAACGCAGCATTGATAATAGACCAATAGTTGGATTTGACTAAATACAATTGCTGCACAGTGGGCATACCTGCCTACAAATATGATTTCTCACTAGCAGTCATGATTGCGTATTTACTACTAATGTATAAATGATTGTATATTCACCAGGACGAGGAAGGTCGCGCTGGTCCATTCGTTGACAAGACTCGTGAACAAGATAAATTAGAACAAGCTTTGTACGTCAAGGAGATTACAACAGCGCTTGGAAGTGGCAGGTACGTTAGGAATGAGGTTGTCATCTGACCGGACCCCAGACTAGGGGAGGGGTGGAGGGGCAGGGTAACAAAAAGTCGTTTATACGAGGCTTGCGAACCTGTGGCCCTCGTTCCAATATCGAATTGGAATTTAGGTGTTCATTTTTAAGGAGGGAGGAAAACTGGAGACCCCGGAGAAAAACCCTCGAATGACAGGAGAGAACCAACTAGAAGCTCTACTCACATACGACACCGAACCCAGCAAAACTTGAACCCAGTAATGAGGGGCGGGCGCCCTCACCTCTACGGCATCCGTGCTTCCCAATGAGGTGTATATTGATATGCAGAAAACTGCAAAAAAAAAGTTCTGAAAATAGTTGAATGAAAAGGGACTACAAGATGAAGGGGAGGTTGAATTTTGTACGCCTTTCCATTTAATAATGTTTCTTTCTCCAATTCCAACAGTGAAGTCACGCTCGACGAAGTACGTAACGCAATCCAGTCTATAGACCCAGAAATCACGCAAGACATTTTAGACAAATACATCAAGCGAGGCTTCAACTCAGCTGTCGACAAAATCGAACCATCGACAAAAATCGAAACGACTCTTTTGACAAAGAGATTACAAACGGGCAGTATTAAAAGAATAGGCAAGAAGCCTTGATATTTATCATATGTAATAGAAATACTAGTGTATTGTAAATAAACAGCGTCGAGGTCTGTGAATAGAATCTTGTATAATGAAATAGCTTCTGCTTATCACACTGTCCACCCCCTCCCCCTCTTCTATTTAGGGAGAGAAGAGTGAGCGGATTTAAATAAGGCTCACTAAACGGCTACAAATCCCGCTGCTACTTCGCCAGAAGACTGAGCAAAGTACAAACAACGACTGCAACAAGCTTTAGCAAATTGTTGAGTGAAACATAATTGTCTTATCTTCATTGTCATGTCTCCATTTCCTTATATTAAACCACTCACAGGAACCTTGTTTGGGCTGCCTGTGTGACATGTAGGAGAGGCTAGTTATTCCATAACAATAGTTATTCAAAATGGCTGCCAAATAGCCTCCAGCATATAGCCACTTCGTATAGGACTTTAGGATATATGATACATATATATAACACTAGTGTATATCATAATGTTTAGATAGCCACATTGTTGAACTACGCTAACGGAATTGTTACTCTTCATCTTCCACTTCGAAGATTCTAGTCCTCTTGGTCTCGTCGTGACCCCTGCTATAAGGCGAACAGTAAGATGTCTCCCCCTATGGTGGTAGTTTCTACGTGGATTCAACGTGGTGTTCTCCTGCTCGGAATTATAAAGGCAGTCGAACTTGCCCTTACATTCTTGGGTAGCACATTCGGCTCAATTCTCAACACGAAGGAATCAGAAAAAATCATTCTAAAACCTCCAAAACATTCCGAAAAAGGTTTCTTGTATCAAAGTTTAGAAGACGTAAAGGAAATGAAACTCACTCATGGTCCGAGGGACTCAGTTGTGAGAAAGCGTCCGCTCTTGGAACCTTTGGCAATTCCACATATTGTCGGATTCGCTGAAGCCGTAATTCCACCAGGTTCGTCGGTTGAAAGACATATACACCTGTCGAAGTATGAGACGTTTTTCTGCAAGGAAGGCCAGGGATATATTAATATAGGTAGAACAGAAGAATCTGGCAGTGAAGATGAGGTGTTAGAGCTGATTCCAGGTAGCTGTGTGACGGTAGTGCCAAAGTTTTATCATTCACTGCACAACAATGGAACTAAGAACCTGGTACTACTGTACTTTGGAGTTGCGTGCTGAAACTCCTCAGAAACTCCTGGGAGTAGTGTTTCTTTATAGGGCTTTGAAGAAACCATTAATGACTGGGGGGGGGGGGGGCTATGTGGAATTATTTGATAGCACTCCTCCAAATTTTGAATGAACCCCACGGCCCAGTGAAAATCAACATAGCCCCAAACAGTGGGAAGGAAAGAGTAGTGATCCGACCCACAGAATAAGTATTGGAGGGGTGGTTTTTGTTGCTCGCAGTCAAAAGCCAATTAGGTCAGTGAGGTATGTGGGGATGTTCACACTCCCTGTGAAATGAATAAATGAATAAAATAAATGGGATTCAATAGTGGCATTTCCACAGTGGCTCTTCATCCATTGAATTAGATAGGGAAATAGGATGAAGTTATGGGAAACAAATACTCAACAATGTACTTGTACTCGGTTTCTTTGATTGCCACCCATTTTACAACAAAAATGTTAAATTTTATAATTCTTGTATACAGACCTACAATTTATTTAAAATAAACTAAGCTAATTCTACACTTTGGTGACTAAACTCTATATGTTTGGTTGTGTTACAACGTACTTCCAGTATGCAAATATATTCTGTTAACTCAATAGTTATGAGCTACACCCTGAAATTTGGTTTTTCACTGCTGTCAATCAAAAATAATCATTTGGCACCTCTTGGCTGGCGGCAGTGATATTATAATTTCACAACAAGCCATTATAATGTCCGAGTTTGCAGAATATTGAAAACCTCAGTAACCATATGTAACCAAAGGGACAGCGTCTATTAAACAATTGTCCTATTTCACTATGACGTCACTGCTTGTTTATGTGGGGGATAGAATCGCCAAATTCAATAGAAAATGGAACAAAATTTGCTCCTAGCGAAACAGTTTAATCTAAAATGGCCTGGTTTTCAGATATGTGTTAATATGTACTAAAAAATATTCTGAGCGTTTGCTGGTTATTCTACTCCTCTTCCTGGATTGATACGGGTTTTAGAACAATTTTTGGTGAATTTGTGTGGATTTGATCCCCTCCGACGACCATGACCCTTTGTGTTTAAACAATAGATTGTTTTGATGTGACGTCATAGTGAAATAGGGCAATTGCAATTGGTTTCCATGTAGTACAGATGTTCCACTTGCTTATTCATCAAAACAGTTGGCATTTTTTTCTCTTAAAAATAGCATATTTATCTATAGGAAAAACTAAGGAATGAAAGACAAGTCAACAGTAGGCCACATTTGATATCTTAAAATTCACACTTGATTGGCAATTCATGTATAGATCGATCACCAAATACATTTTACAGATACTATATCACAAGTTTGTAATGGAAAGATTTATTACATTGATCACTTTCTACTTTTTCATGATTTACATAATGGTTGTGACTTATGAAATGTTGTATGTGATCTGCTAACACCACCGTAAAATCCTAGTTAAAAGAACATCCTAAGTGTTGTCAATTCCATCTGCTATTGAAGCAGATGAAGTTGACAGCACCTAGGAAGTTCTAACCACTTCAAGTAAAGTTTGATTATTTGAAAGCTTTTGTCAGAGTTCTCCGGTTTTTCTTTAAGTTCCAATTCGATCTGTGAGTTGCCATGCTAAATTCCAATTCGAACTGTGAGTTTCCATGCCCTGACTCAAATCAGGCCAGAGGTCAATATTTCAGAGTTTGATTTTTAGTAATGAAAACAGTCGTAACTGTTCCCTGGTGATCTACACAATTACCGCCATTTGCATTGCTACGCGGCCACGCCAGACAAAAATCACTTTGCAATAGACTGCTGTCAATGAAACATGTTGACATCATTTACACGTGTGTGATTCAAAAGGTGCCAAAACTTGTTGATTGTTTACAAGTATGAGCCACACTCGCCTATCGGGCCGATCCAAACGCATGTAAATGATGTCAACATGTTTGATTGACGGCAGTCTATTGCAAAGTGCACGTCGCAATTTTTGTCTGGGGTGGCCGCACAGCAATGCAAATGGTGGCAAACAATTCATGGTGTAAGCAAAGCACAATAAGCAATAATTGCAATTCAAACTCTTTACATGTAAGTCAGTGTTAGTTAATTGCCATACAATATAAATTACTTGCTCTATTAAAACATTCTTGAATGATCATGCAAATCATTATTTTCAACTATGACCTAAACAATCCAACTAAACATATGGGTTTGTTCAGTGTCTCTTGGTAAATGAAAAACTGTGTGGTCATCRTAATTATGAATTATAAAATTTTGTACAGCTTTTTCCCTGATATGAAGGCAACCTGAGAGATATAAAGTGTCTAGAGCTTTGTCATTTTTGAAGATATGGCTAACCCTTTTATACCTTTTCTTGCAGTATAGCTATACTGCTTTCAATGTAAGAAAAACTTAAGTTTACTCTGATAGTTCGCCAATGACAGTAAGGACTACAGAACCGCAACAAATAAATTGCATTGCCAAGGGATAAACAAAAAAATAACTATGTATCAATAACTTGTTTAAAATCAATGAATTCCAAAACACTTGACTTTCATAGCTCTCTAGGTCACAGAAACAGAATAAAAGAAAAAAAAAGAATGAAAATATATAAATGGAGCTTAAATAACATATTCAATAATTAAACCTTTTGAACTTGACTCGGATGCCTTTGTACTGCTGTTAAGTGTCTCTGCAGTCCTCTCGACAGCAGGATTTTAAGGCATATGCAGTGTTTACATAGGCAGGTTATCTCCAGTGTAATACAATTTATGCTACTCTTTTGTTTTATCTATTGTAACATTTTCTATAGATTGTAAAGCTGGTCTCGTTTTTTTTGCATTGCAATGTCAGCTGTGCTGTTTGAATTATATTACACTGGAGATAGGCTGCATAAGGAAAAGCATCATAATTATAATGACCCATTGTGGCTTCTAACTATCAAGATGGTCCAACATATATATATATATATATACATAGGGAAGGTATTTTTTTATGGAAAGTGAGGGGCGGGGATTCACGGTAAACTCTTTTTAAAATGGTTGTATTTCTCCCCTCTTAGGCCTCTGGCAAACGTCGGACTTTCTATGCACTGAACTCAATAAAAACAATGGATATCAGGTGATAATGAGGCGACATTCTTTCATGTAGTTAAGTTCGGTGCATGGAAAGTTCGATGTTTGCCCTAGGCCTTACACTCATACAGAAAGAAATTCATGACTCTCTTATTAAACTTTTGTCATGATATTCCCCTTTTAAGCCCAAGCCCTCCCTCCAATAAAAGATGTACCTTCCCTTACAATGTTGAATACTTTTGGTTAATCCCAAATAAATGAGGTATTACTTATCACTTGGATCCTTTAAAAAATAAAATATTTAAGTAAATATATTCTAAATGTGTTAGTCAATGCACTGCATCAAAAAAATTGGAAATACGAAAGGTCCTGACGCTAGTGTTACTCTGTGTTGGGTATGATAAAATTAATCTAGTAATTTGCAATTATTTGACAAAAGAAAGTGATGCTACTGACGAGGGCAACTGTATAAATTGCCTCTGATTGCATGATTTTTCAGGTATTGAAAAAATACATTGGTTCCATTTAGTAACAACTTTTAAAAATCTTAAAAGATTTTTGATCAAAGGCTTTTTCTTTCAATATTCAACCTATTTCAGCCAAAATGTAACCATGTTTGTATGGTTTAAATGTGTTCATCCAATCAGAGACAAGTGTTATAACTATGAGCCATTAGATATACCTTCACAGACATTCAAAAATTGCTTGAGCAGTTTTAGTATCAATAGGAAATACACTGTACTGAGGGGCGTCATGGTTTATGCTTGGGCGTCATGGTAGTACAGACTGAAGGTGTCATGGTATACGTGGCCAGGGGCGTCATATCAAGGGGGCRACATGACTGGATACCCACTGACTTACAGCAAAGACGCAGTTCAACTTGTTTTAACATTCTGTTGTCTACCATTGATTCATCCAACCACAACATATACAGTAGTTACTGTATTGCTATGAATTTGCCATATCATTTCCTACTGATATAAAAGCTGCTGTATGTATTCAGAGTTATTATATTGACTGAGGTAAAATAAAAACCTATCCCAAATTTTTACAAAAACAGTTTTATGTTACACTATATAATATACATGTTCTTTACTGCCTGGAAGATCTGCATTGAGAAAAAACTTTCCATAAATCTTGTACAGACCAAATTAGCCTGCCCCTTTCTGTGGTCCAGGGGAGAGGAGGCAAGGAAGTGCCTACCTGTCATTGCGCCACTACACAGGCAAAAATCAAGGCTATGAGTTAAGATTCAAGACAAACTTTTTTCTCAATACAGACCAAACTAATACAAAACAGCTCGTTATCACTATTCACTCCCAAAAGTACAGTAGTGGCACAGTTCGATGGAGTGGAGATCCAGTAAAGAGCATCATTTTTTCCAATTGAAATTTCACTGTTTTAGAATGTCAGAGTGAACTGTCTCATACCGAGAAAAAACTTCACTGGCAAGCGACCAATCAGTGTATGTAATTTCTTTAGATTCTAGACTGGAAAAAATACATGATCTATTTCTATAATTTCAATTATTTTACTATATCCGTATTTTCTTTAAAATATTATTTAATATTCCCATTTTTGTAATAATATTATTATTATTACTGGTAACTGACCCAGGACAATTTTCCTGGTTTTATCATTTTTCAGTATAGTTTGGATAGCAAATATACCTAGAAAATATCCACACCTCCCCCTGAAGGGGAGGCATGGGATGAAAACTCTTTTCTTATTCTCCCGACCTTCACATACCACATAATTTCCACATAAAAGCACTGTGCATTAGGAGCTATATATACTACTATATACTCTCCTTAATCTCTGCTATTGTAGGGGAGGCTTGGATATTTTCTGGGACATTCAAAATTAATAAAAAGCAATAAATTGTTTTGTTCCAATGGAAGCATTTTGTTAGCATCACCATTTTGTTAGCATCCATGCATTTGTTCAAGCGTTTTTGTACTGTTCTTGTGGATGTCTGGAATTTCTAATGTGCATTACTAGAAAGAGTGTGCCCAGGGTCTCTGTGTCTTCATTGTCTATCAGCCATTCACCATTGTAGTTAGAGTAGTGACTATAACATATAAGTATTCACAATCAGAGAGAATTCCTGTGCCCAATACCCTCCCTGCTCTAATCAGGATATTCTTGTGTACCTGTTAATTAGTGACTAGGATGGATGCTCTGGACATGTCCTACTCTTCTGGAACCATTTATCTAAGCACCTTTTAAACAAAAAAGATATGTTTGATTAATCTTTATACAAAATGATTCAATGGTTTTTGCCATGAATTAATGATTTGTAATGATGATGATTTATGATTTGTATAGTGCCCTTTCTAAATGGATATAACCAAAGGTGCTTTACATTGAGTTGTGAATGACAGATTGTTTTTATGCAATTTACAAGCATGAGAGATGGTTAGTATGAAGTGTAGGCACTGAGGGTGGTCACTGCCAGGATTTTTTATGTCCTCAGTGGTTCTTTTACGTTCCTCCGATGTTGGTTAGTAATGATGAGTGTCGAGAGACAGGACTGCAATTTAAAGTGGTCATCTGAGCCACTTGAAAGTCTAACCATTTGCAGATGTATTTACAAGTGCAGCACTTTCTCCTCAGTTTTTTAAGACCCTGAGTGTTGGTCCGATTTAGCAAGACAAGTGGGTAGGAATTCGTAAAAGTGGTGGTAGTAACTGTATTGAACATTGTAATGAAAAGTCTACAGCTAAATACTAGTAAATTAGTGGTTGTCAGCCTTGTAGCTATTTTGAAATGATTTGTTAGGCTACAAGCAATGATTACCTGACAGGGCTGGTGAAGTTTGAGGCCTGCTATACCCAGGTTGAACCCCCAGGTTTCCCTAACTTGCTCTGTGTGGAGCACAATTGTTTTTAGCTTCACATCATTATCACTATGTTAATTCATGACTGGTTTATTTCTATTCATGTTCACTCTTTTCACTTTACTTGATAATGCTGACAAGATGTCACTGAAACCTAGTAATTTTGTACCAATAATGTTTCTCACAAATACTATTTCCAAAGTTGGCTTTATAAGAATCCCACCTTTTTCCTCTTTTAAAATAAGGATCCTGCCCATTTGTAGCCTACCCACCCTTATGTAGCTAGTACCCTTACAATTGACTCCGGATACATTAGATGGTTTCAAGTCTAGATCTAGACAACGATTTCTTCATTTCATTTCTTTAAGAATGGATTTGTTCAACTTACTTTTTATGATATATACAAAGGCAAGGAAGCCTGGCAATTGTGTCACCTGCAGGAACAAAAAAAAGTATGAAACACAATAATTTATTAACCCCGCATGAGGTCCACATTTATGAAGCTGACACTGAAATGGTTATGTAGATGTATCTAGTGATACAATTTGTGGAATGTTTTTAAATTGTTGCACTGACAGAACCATGGAGGCTTATAACACATATTGACTGTGTATCTTCAATAAATACATCAGAGGACAAAAATGTCATTTCCCAGAATACATTTTGGTTTCATCTTCTATGTTTTTAACCCAACAATGATTAATAATATTGAAATGAATTTATCTTCATGCCAGGCATTGACCATTCCTTAACTTTATTATGCTCACAAGAATTCATTACCTACCTTTTTTTAGCTCGTCCAAACATATTGCACACTCTTCAGAATTCATTTGTAAAACATCCTCTGAAGAAAAAAGACTTGAAGTTAATGATATTTAAAACAAAATTTGTATGGTAGCCTGTCTGTGATAAACTCACAGAATGGAAAGATGCCAAGCCATCATAGTATTGTAGTGCTGCGTCCAACCATATTCACTAGAGCTTTGTGTGTCTAATAATAATAATCTTTATTGAGATAACTTTTTCATAATCATGATTTTCAAAAAGGACCTCATTAAAAAATAATATATAATAAACTGAAAACTTAAAATTGTAACTAATATAGAGAATCTAAAAATATTAAAACCATAAAAGAGAAAAAATAGTTATTAAAGAAACAATGAGACTGACAGACAACAAATCCGTGACGACTTCATTGGAAGTTGGCTGACTAAACATTTTTATTAAACCCTGTGATAATCTCTGGTAGACCAAGGAACTTATAAAATAATTATTTTTGTAGTGCTATTTTGACTTGCTATTTTGACTTGCTATTTAGTCTCCATGGAAAATAATAGATGAACTCTTTGATATCGAGAAATTGTTGACCACCTAAAAAAACTTAAAATATTATTGAAACCCAAAACAAGGAGGAGCTTTCAAGATTGGCCAAAAAAAACCAATAGTTTCATTGTTGCTTTGTCCTGTTGTTTTGTTTATGTTATTTCTCATTCTGTTGTATTCATCCAATTGGGTTTGAACTTCTTATAGCTGCGACCTTGCCCAAATAGTTGACATATATTGATTTAGGCAGGCAGCTATAATGGACTCATGATGACAAGACACTTCTGTGCTGAAAAAATGATAAGCTGAAGAGAAAACCAGGTATAATGGAGAGTAACTATCTGTTAAGTCCTATCTGAATCATTCTGTTAAGATTGCTAAATGGAAGTTACTATGTAGCTGGTCACCATGACAATCTAGAATGTGTACATATACCTTAAACAGAGCAATTAAAACAGTTCACCAAAATGATATATAATAGCTCTCTTAAATACCATAATCTCTTATCTAAAAAGCTTGTGATTGATAATAATCCTTAATAAAAATCCCAGTCTAAGACAAGACTAAAACCCTTAAGAAATTCTAGTATCTATGACAACCACTTGTCAATAAGATCAATTTTGACAGCTATTTCCTTGCAGACTGAGAAAAACAAAACACAAGTCTTTTGTGAATCTAAATTTCAAAATTAGATGGTTTCGTAAATACCTGTCAACTAATTTTCTATGCTTAAAAGGTCAGAACAAACGCTTAAATAAATTTGATTGTGAAGTCAAAGGATTGCAGATGCTAAGTTCTGAGCTAGATTTCAATTTCGATAAGAAAATTATATGATATAATGACTTGGAAAACTAGTTAGCGGATAAGAAAAATCGAGTATAATTTTACCGCCACTTAGCAAAACTTATTAAATATTGATAGAAATATTTTTCTGCAAGGATTAAATACTAATCTTTCTACTTTCTATTTTGCTAAGATGCAAAATTAAAGCACTACAAAGCTGATGACTGCCAAAMAAATGGTTAAGATACTTTTTACCAGAGGATCAAAACCGTAGTGAGTTTGTTGCGTTTAAATTTTTGTATAAAAATATGAATCGGATGTTTGATATTGGAGTAAGCTTATTTTGTTTTCATTTTGTATGACAGTGAAGAGTTCACCGCAGAACGCCATGTGTCCAAATTGGACGTAATTGGAAGGCAACGTTGATAATAGGATTCCATTGAGAAGGAAAGTTGAATAGATTCTATGATGTAATCAGATGTGTACTAGTTAGATAGAGGGCCGAAACTATTGATTTTTGATCCAAGGCAACAAAATATCTCGTCTTTCGGTTTCTTTTGTGGGGATCAAATACGGGGAGTCTATCTATACTTACCTTGATCACTGAGTAAATATATATCCACTAAAAGAGAATATCTTACCGTTATAAGACAATCTTGGTTTGGTAAGGCAAAGAACTAGATGTAGCTCTATATCCTCGGACATAACGACTTTAGAGCACACAGGGCACTTCACTCCTATGTGGGAAAAAAGACAAAATACTGTAAGGTCACCACGCTGTCTCGACATGCAGTCCTCAAACAACAGAAAACGCTACTAAATCTCTTCGCGACAAGCGAACCGCTTTGTTTAGTCATTCGAGGGTGTAATATAGGAGAAAAAGAAATAAAGCTTTATAACATGGTTTGTCTTGCCTGTGAAAAAAGACGTAGCAAAGAGCTGCGCCGGTAGAGAATGAGCTCCTTGCATTGAGTAACCAAGATTACGAAGTTGAGAAGAACTATCATCGTTCGATGAAGACAAATCCGACTCCTGAAACGAGTCCTGATGCGAAGGTATCGACAAAGAATGTTCTACACTGTTCAGAGAACGTGTTCGAGTCCTAGAATCTAGAGAAACGACTCTACTGTGCTCGCCATTAACCACTGGTCCAGAATGACGATTATTACTTCGACTACTAACGGTACTCGCAGACGACTGTTTGGCTCCCATTCCTGGCCAAATGTAACAGTTCCGTTATCGAATAGCTAAACTACTTCACGGACATTCGAAGAGTAGGTTTGAAGACTAATTTGGAGCGAATATAAGGGTTAAAAGAGAAGGAGTTGGATATCTCATCGCCATTTTCTACTTTCTGTTTTTGTTTTGTATCTTACCAGACGGCACACGTTCGCCAGGGCCCCTGGGAAGACATGACGTCAATGTTCAATTGTGTTCCTGCTGTCAATCAAATGATATCGAGAATCGTATCACACCTTATGTCTAAATGTTTCACTGAAGATACGAAATAAACTGTGCTCTTTTTTAGTTTCATGCCATCCCAATCTCACTCCCTCTTTGTTTTGAGGGAGGGTGGAGAGGAAGAGAATTAATAAATGGGCATAAGGTTAATTTCCCATTTTATAAGTTTTCCATTTCAATCCTATTAAGAATAGAAATGATGGCGCGTTATTAGTATCCCACTGCACAGCAACGGTTTCCAGCTGTTGTTATATTTTCAGTTACCCATGGATGATTATTAGCTGGAAGACCTTTCCAGACTAATCTGATCGTGCATAATTTTTTTGCCACTTGTGTCTCAAATCGTCATCTTTGGCTTGTTATCAAAAATTAATGCATTGGCAACGTGAACATTAATTATCAAAGGAAAAAAGAAAATGATGATCATTCTTGTTCTTGATTTGGCGTGGGCTTCCTGTCCCTCATGTCGGACTTCCTGTTAGAAAATACCGCTGTCTGCGGCGTCTTTTTTGATTACAGAGTCATTTACTCAGGGTGAAAGTATCCTAGCCTTATTTCAGGGTCAAAACATAATGGCAACCAGTAAAGTGGCAAATATGTAGCACGTGATTTTTTCCCCCGGTACCATGCGATTATTTTTGAATGAAATGATTGGTCAGAAATAATATTACACACAACTTATAATTAAGTTTTAAACGCAGCTTGGTAAAGAGTGGTCTCGGTTAGAGTGACTGTACAGTACAAGCAAAAAAGACAAAATGACAACAAGGAAAACTGCAAAAACAAAACAAAAAAGACGAAAAAAACAGGAAGAAATAAATGTTTTTAATGACGGATTGGAAAAGAGGGCTCTTCGATATTTTGTGAACTCAGACATTTCAGCTATACGGCTTGYTGTGAAGAAATTGCCGCCAGTCATAAATATATAAGGTACCGACTGATTATGTTTGGTCGACGGCAGCAAAAAAACTAATCCAGAGTGCAGCTTTCGCAGAATACCGAAAACCGCAGTAAAGAAAATCACGCGGTTACCGGTTACCAAGAGCTTGCGGTTACGTATGAGGGAGTGGAGAAAATATCAAAAGGAAGTGATCGACTGCGGCTATATCTCTTCACCTTAGATAGAAGCCCTTGTTTTTGTCCCCATATATCGTTATTCTGTATTTTTCCTGCGGTCGTTGAAGGAAATGATATCAGATTTGTGGCTTAAATTTTTAATTGCGGCCTATCAGATTTCAAATATAGTCTGGCGAGCCAGCGAATCGCATTTGATTACCAGGTTAGCTATTATTTAACTTATAATACCATACTGATATAAAATACTTCGCGTCATTTGCGCCAGAAATACCAGAACAGTGTTCGTACAATAAATGAATTTGGTGTTGTACAGATTTTCCCTCGAGGCGCTCGGCGCAAGCACAAATAAGGATTTGTCAAAGATCATATTTCAGTGGCCTGAAGTGACCTGAACCAAGCTTCATAATAGCAATAAGTTAAAGACCGATCATGCAGCTGGTTGTTATACTCAGAGGCGTTCTTTTGCTGTCGATCTGTTCGCTTGTTTCCAGCGTGAAGAAAATGCCCAAGCCTTCGCGTTCTCTCCATCCTTTTCTTTATTTCAACGAAGGGGATATTCCACGAATGAGACGACAGGCTAATACCACACACAGAACAATGGCAGCGAGAATCGTCAAGGTTGTCAACCACATCAAGCAGTTTCCCAAGGGGAATCTACCTCCAGCTGACTGGAATGAATTTTCTTCCAAATGGAACGAAATTTACGGCAACAATCTTTGCGCTCTGGCGATATATTGTGTTTTATACGAGGACGACAAAGAAGCTAGGAACATGGTTTTTCGATCAATGGATATCTTGTCTGCGCTTCCTAATTGGAGGGTAAAGGCCAGCTTGCGTGACGATGTCCCTGTTGCACACTCCCTTACAGGAATGGCAACTGCCTACGACTTTCTTTACCAATACATGACCAAAGAACAGAGGATTAGATACATGGAAAAAATCGTTAACGTAACTGCAGAGCTGTATGTGAAATCGTTAGATCGGAGCGTATGGTGGGGAAAGTGTTACATTCAGAATCATGTCGCTACTAATTACATGGCCATATTAACTGGATCCCTCGTGGCTTCAAAACAAGTGAGATACTCCAAACTTGCCACTAAGTGGAAACTAAGAGCCAACCAAATGCTAGCCAGGAATATGGACATTCTGAATTACGTAGTAGATGGTTCAATGAACGAGGGAGTGTCGTACGGTTCGTACACGACTCGTTCGCTCACGCAATACCTTTGCTTTGCTGTACGACACTTAAAAATGACGTTCCCTAAGCATATTTGGCTGCAGGAACATTTCTGGTTTATGTATTACACTATTCTCCCTGGYTTTAGAGAAACAATAGGAATCGGAGATTCTGGGCTGGGTTGGTATTACGGCCCTCAAAGTCAGTTATACTTTCTTGATAGATTCATATTAAAAAATGGTTACGCGAATTGGCTTGCGTCGAAAATACAGGAATCTGGATTTGTGAGCTCAATGTCAGGTCTTACATCCACTGTGCATACTGAGTTTATCTTCTATGACCCAAGAATCTTACCAAAAGCACCACCCTATTTCACCAAGGAACATATGCATGTCTTTAATGACTGGGGTGTGGCTGTGTATCGCAGTGGAATGTCTACTTACCCTCGACCTGGTGTCGAGTCCACTAGCGAAGAGGCTGTGTATCTGTCATTCAAGTGCGGTGTTTTACATGGCCGGGCTGTCAATCAAATGGTGTTAGCCAGACCTCCAGTTCCTTGGATTAAAAGCTGGCGAAACTTTAATCCAGGGCACGAGCATTTAGACCAGGGTTCCTTCGTGTTCGCGCCATATGGAATACCTTTTATAACGGAGACTTACTATGGGCCTAAATATACATGGCTCAACAATGCTTTACTTTTTGGTCCCTCTTTCGCATCGCCCTGCTCTAAGCCCCTTGAGGGACAGATAGGGGAGTGTTTGAAGTGGTTCGATTATAGGTCCATTGTACCCTGGAGAGCGCGCGGTAAGATTGTCACGTCTTCAAGCGAGAAGGGACTGGTTCTAATGTGTGGTGAAATGGCGTCGTGGTATCGAGGCAGCCTGGGACTAGCTAGCGTGTATCGATGTCTGGTCTTGTTGTCGCCTGGTGTTCTCCTTGTTGTAGATCACGTGGAGAGAAAGAAAGAAAGCACGACCAATCACATGAGCGCGTTCTTTCATAATGTTAAACATGAGTTCCACCTTGAGGAATGCTGGGATAGCCATCAATACTCTTGCGCGGGAATGAACATCGGTAATAAGACTTTCAGAACAATCTGGGTGAACTCGCACGGAACTAGGAGCGCTGCGCTTGTTGGACACTACGATTACTCTCAGTTTAAAAACGGGAAGACAAATTTTGTTAACATCACGACACCGCTTCATGACAAGTACACTCGCATGGCATACCTGTTTGCAGGGCCTAGGAACGACATTAAGTTACTGCGCATTTCTAGTGCGCAGGATCATGGCGTGCACATTTCTACAGTAATCAATGACGTAAGGTATACGGTTGCCTTGGTTACCAAACACGCCCTTACAACTGTTCGTTTTGATTGGTTGGGTTTTGGCGGGTTTGCTAAAGTCAATATTGAAAAGACAGGTCAAAGTGGTTCAGGGATGAAAGCGAAAACCATCCGATTCGTGGTTGGCGCAGCTAACGAAACTAACAAGGCGTTCATCAGACGCAAGGGCCATCAACACGAAGCCCCAGAACACGGCCATTCTATACTACTTCTGTTGGTGCCTACATTGTCTTTTTTGTCTCTTCTCTTTTGCTACTTAAAAGTTGTCAGAAAACTAACATCTCGTTTTTATTTCAAGATTGTTATTGTGTTCCTTCTCGTAGCGTATGTTTTGATCGCAATTGTCGAGTTTTTACATGGTTGTACTGGTCTGAGTAGCTGCTTATGGAACCTTACTCCATCAAAGATTGTACTAAATAACGGATACCGAAATGGTTATCTTACAGTTGACAAGCAAAGTCCTCCATTCGTAGTCTACACGTCTTTACCCTGGGCTGGTGGGGAGATTTTGGGCGAACTTTTCAAAAGCAACGACGACTTTTTTCATCTTGAGATGAACAACCAAGATTTTGGTCAATCATTTGGAGTGAAAAACGAGACGAAAACTCGACGCGTACATTCTTCAACCGAGAATCTAGATCCTTGTAGCATGTTCCAAATACGCCAAGAAGACCACGAATCCATCAACGTTTCCAATTGGTTTCGTCGTTACCATAGAGATCCTAAGTCCCTCAATCCAAATTTCCCTCAAAGAGCACAGACGTCTCTTCCAGCTGTACACATGAAAGATCCAGGATGGGGACTGCGCTTTCATTGGTTGCGCAGAGTTTTAGGGTACCGGATGAAGGCTATCATCGTTGTTCGTGATCCGAGAAGCTGGGTTAATACTTGGTTAAACGAACTGAGAATCAATCCTATTTTACTTACGAATACTAAAAACTTCGTAATGAAACTAGCAAAGGCGCGTTGTGCGAATCAAGATGGCAATGGCTATGCCTCTGAGCTTGGAGCTATCCAAGAACTATTTTTATCAGAACATGAAGAACAACGAGATATGTTAGGAATCAAGCTATTGGCTCATTTATGGGCCGCTCATACAAATGCTGTCTTGCGCATGGCCAAAACTGTACCAAAAATCTACATACGGGTTATTCGGCTTGAGGACCTCGTACTGAGACCCAAGAAAACTACCCAAAGAGTGTTTCAGTTTCTTTCTCTCCCGCCTTCACCCTCCATGGAGAACCAGTTTCAGCAAATAACGCGGACTGGACAGTTCAAATTCAGCACTACACACGAAAATGTTGGTCCGGGAATGTTAAATTCGTGGAAAAAGAGTTTAAAATCGAACGAAATCCGAGAAATAGAAAGCATATGTTCTTTGGTCATGTCGCAGTTACGATATAAACAGAAGTGAAATCGTGTACAGTCTAAATATATCATACCAAAATTCCTCAATAACATTGCAGGGCCATAGCGAGGTCCAATTGTTTACCGAGGCAAACGAGCTGCGAAGGCAGGAGCAATGAGAGGGGTTCAATGCGCGCGGAACAACGAAACAAGATCGATCTAACTGACCCCTCAGTTGTCTCGCAGGTGTCGCCATCACTGGTTTCCATATCATGACTTTAAACCTTCGCACTCCAAAAAGGTGAAATCATGGAAACTTTTAGATTAGAGTACTGGATATAATGATAGGATTTGAATATTAATTTTGTTATGCATCTTTAATATATTCTAGAGAAAATGAGATAGTTCATTTCAATATCTTGAAATAATAATGTCAAAAAAATCCAGTTGATTTAATAGTAATGAGAAATTGCTAGAAATTTAGTGCGAAGTCATACTGTAATTAAAACTAGAAGATAATATGAATGATATTTCAATAAAGTTAGTTAATTTATTAAGAAAAAAATGTACACGATGCCAGTCAGTGAAGCCTGTGATTATATTGTTCATCAACATCATGATATATTTGCTTTTTACAAAAGACTAGCGTCCAAATTGTCAATACAGATATATCTCTTTTCTATGTATTCCATGAATACAACAACTTGGGCGTCATGTTTTGCCCATTTCAGACCACGTGTCATTCCCTTGAGTATCATTTCTTTGTTTGGATGCAAATAGCGCTGATGCAAATGAAACATAGAATGCTATTCTTAAAGGAACGACACGTTGTCTGAAATGGGAAAACAAACCCCCAATTGTTGTATTCATTGCACACGCGCGCGTACAGTCCTATTTGGGCTACCTGTAGTATCTGTAGTTGGGCTACCTGCGTCTTAAAGATTTTCTAGATATCATTTTCTGCATATCATCGATTAATCTTTTAACCTTTTCGTGGGAATAAAGTCGCCACTCAATAAGCCAGTTACTAGAACTTCAGTACTTTTTGAATTGGTCCGTTAAAAACTGTTCGTCTCAGTTTTGTAATCGGAGCGATGGGATCCCTTTATAGATCTGTCCGCGCAGTCCTGTGACAGCCAGGTGTTTTCAACTTAAAATGGCAGTCAAAACCATGTCTCAATTTTCAGTGTTTTTTCTGCTATTCTTCGGTAAGAAATGAATAAAACAAAGCCATCCATTCTATTATATGTCTAACCTTTTATCCATTTGTGTTATTTTAGCGTGCATATCAAGTGTGGACGGTTCTTATGTGCAAGAGCTAGACAATAGGTAAAGTACTTTCATAATTCTCTTTTGTCCTTCTTTTCATTTTTATTCATCTTTCATCCCTTTTTATCCCTGTAATAAGTATAGCGTTACGCTTGTTATGTAGTTGGAATTATATTTGACATTGGACATTCGATTTTGGTGTGAGTTTTAATCGAACAAGTGACTCATCTTGAGAACAAAAAATTCAAAAAATTCTTGGTTTTTATTCAACTTTCATTTTTTGTTCTTTTCTATGAAGCCTTTTTTTTATGGGAACGAGTTCCGAGAGCCGAAAGATCAAAATCTTTATGTTATGCAATGATAAATTTATATTCCTCTAAAATAAAGACATTAAAAATATAGATGGTAACTTAGATAGGCTTGCAATGGTACAGCAAATAGTCTTGTTAATTTAATCTTGACACTGGCAACCCTACCGTGAGGAATCGTAATATGGGCAATAAAATTATGCGGCTTGTTTTGCAACAAACCAGGGATAGGCCACAATTAATAATTTTAAGTCAGACTTGATTGCAATGTTTTGGTCGTATGGTACTTCATGTATGGTACAAATATGTGGGTTGACAAATACAGTTGTTGATGAAATAATATACCTTGTCATATAGACAATAGTATTTTACAGGGCCTGGTTGCACCAAGCCTGGAAAGTGCCATCCAACAGATAAATCTTATCTAGTGGATAAATTTATTGGATAACAGCATCGACTGGATAAGGATTTATCTGCCAGTTGGCACTATCCAGGCTTCGTACGACTGGGCCCTGGGCAATATGCCACTTGTGTTTTCATATGAACTATGTATGAACTACATCCAGCACTTTAGTGACATATTTTTTCATATAACATGTGAAGATATTGATGATCTCACATCAGATGTTTTCCTTTCCACTTTAATGTGGGCTGCAACAAGTTTTTTATTTGTGAATGGGTCTATACTCATAAAAAGAAAATAAATTACGCATTGACTAGAAGATAGGAATTTTATCTTCTCGTGATGAAGAATATTTTACCACTCAAAGATAAACTTCTATATAACCTCACACCACTGTGTAATATTCTCTATATTAAACATATAAATACAACATTTTATATTTGTAGATTTTTAGAACTTAAGAACCAAGGCAGTTGGCTTGTTGAAGTAAGTTTGCTAATTTCTCAATTCATGTAATCATGCATGAGAAAGGTTGCCCTCTTTTGCAGGTTTCTGAATTTTCCTGTAGGCTACCTGAATTTGGCTAAGATGGACTGGGAGCAAAAAAGTGAGAAAACAAGAAAGGAGGAACTATGCATTTCCAGTACTTTACTCTATTCTCAGTCCATTTTCTAGCAGCTACATGAATGACAGAAAGCCCAGAGAAGAAAATACAGAAAGAGTGATCATTTCTGTTAAGGATACTAGAGGGAGGGATTGGTAGAGATGAATAATGCCTCCAAAGAAACTAAACCTCTAAAGGGTGGCATAGTGACAGTGCATGAGCCCTCTCACTTCTGGGGTCTCAGGTTTTATTCCTGGATTGAGAATCTTGTGTGAGAACAGGTTTTTGGGTCTCTTCCTTGGTTCAAGGGTATTTCTTTGGGATGGAGAATCCGGGAAAAAAGTACCGGGGATGCTTGTCGTATCTCTTAGGGGGCTTCCGGTTTCTTTAAGGGGTCTTTTTGAAAATTTTGGACGAGCATCCCCGGTACTTTTTTCCTGGAGTCCCCCCCGGGTATTTCTCTGGGTTCTTTGGTTTTCCTCTCTCCACTTAAACTTAGCTCATTAAGTTCCAGTTCAATATGTGAGTTAGCCATGCTTTGACTTAATAATCAATCAGCCCAAAAGTTGTTGAAGGGTATTGATAAAAGTTAAAGGTTTGATTAATTCTGTTAATAGCTTGTATCTATAATCAATTTAGTTTTATGCACCTWGGTGTGGCTATTGCCGAAAGTTAGAACCAATATGGGAGGAAGTAGGCAAGGTTTTATATGGAACTTCTATTAATGTTGCTAAAGTAGATGCTACTATATATACTGGTGAGTATGAAAGAAATGTTTGCGCTAGCAAAATGAAATTTAAAAAGTAGGAAACTTTATTTACCAACTAGCATGTCTGCTCTGTCAACAAGAGCCACTTTGTTATATTTCGATAGTCAAGACCCCTCTTGAAATATTATCTTGGATGTAAATCTAAGATGAAAATACAAAAGATATAAAAAATATTTATATATTATATRAAAAAATATTTTGTCTGTGTGAACAAAATCGATGTTCCTAGTCAGCATTGTGGCACTTGGGGAGGGGGGAGGGGAGGAGTAAGGACAGGGGGACTGCACTGCTATGCAGACTAGATAGTCCCTCTCAAAATTATCTTGGATACAAGGCTAACATGAAAATACAAAAGAAATCACACATTCTTGCAATGGAATTTGATGTGAAATGTTTTGTATTTTCATGGGAAATTTGCATGCAAGACAATATTAAGAAGGGTCTTGACTATTGAAATATAACATCTAACATGAATTACAGTGAAGTCACCAAAACCAAACTTATCCATAGTTGTGATTCACTGGCCCTTAATTTATATGGTTCAGTCGTCCCATGATAACTGGATCTTTGTTTGATTGGCCGTATCTTGTAATTGATTGCCGAGAATTAATCTAAAATGCTTTTATTTACACAAATGGTTTATAAAACTTTTTAAAGCCTTGATGACATTTGTTGTTTTTTCTTTTTATCAGGTATTGCAAAGGAATATAATGTTAGGGGTTTTCCAACCATAAAGTTGTAAGTACAAAATGAATAAATGGAATTAATAGCAATCTTATGGTTCCACAAAGCTCTTGTTCAAGTGATTGTGTTACAGGAAAGTATCAACAAGCACCTGCAACTTACATGATTTTAAGTTTGGGAATCAATCCTCCGATTGGAAGGGCCAGGGGAAGCACTCTTTTTTCACCATTTTGACACCTATATTTCCCCTCTGTGTGTGGATATTTCTCCATGAAATTATTTGTACAACCCTTTTAGAAATGCTTTATTGTATACTTTTAGACAATATTGTATTTGAAAAACCATTATAATTCATTATTGTATACTGGCTATATAGATTGTGAAAGACTAATTTTCATACTTTATTGTTTTAGTATCAAAGGAGGGCTTGTACTAACTTATCAAGGTGACCGTACTACTGAAGACATTGTACAGTTTGCTAATAAAGCTGGCGGGTAAGATGTGACAATACTTATTGAATCTTGAGTCTTGAAAATAAATAAAGGACTACACTGAGTTTCTCATACTTGATTCACAAACGACCCCAACATGAGAAAGACTGCATAAAAATGAGTAAGATTAAAAATTTGATCATTGAAGTTTGGGCAAAGAAACAATATGAAATTACTATATTTGCACATTAATAATGCAGTAGATATCAGCTCATCTGGAGGGGGAAGGGGGGGGGGGGTGCACACCTAATGGACCCCTCCCCTAGATCTGCTCCTGGATATTGAAGGTATACATTACATGATTTTAGACCAGCTGTCACAGAACTTACTAGTGGGGAACAGCTACGCAATGTCCAGAAAGATAGAACAGTATTTTTCTTGTTGGTTACAAGCAGCCAAGGAAATGATGATTTGAAGGTATGAAAGCCATGAAACAATAAAGAGTTGCTTCAAGAGCCTCTGGGTTTGTGCATTAATGCTGTTTTTCAAAACTTCAGGAAGTTTTCAGGAATGCAGCAGAGAAGAGAGTTACAGAGGCTTATTTTTACAGTATTTCAGAAAATGAACTTCCAAAGGTAGATGGCCATTTGTCTACTTTTTTATTCATTTTTCCTTCTATTTAAACATCAGTCCTGTCTATTCATCTAACTAACCATTCTTTACATCTATCTTATTTTATTTTTTCTATCCCATCTATCCCCTCACTCACTCCCTTGTATCCACCCATTGTGCTATACATCCTCAAATTTGTTAATTCATCTGGAAATTCTAACCATTGGTATTCATATACCCACAACTCATTTTATCCATCCCTCCATCCAATCATCTGTCCATCCATCTCATTCCATCCATCCATCCATCCATCCATCTCATTCCATCCATCCATCCATCTCATTCTATCTATCCATCCATTCACTCATCTGTCTGTCCATCTGTCCATCCATCCATCTCATTCTGTCCATCCATCCATCTCATTCTATCCATCCATCTATCCATCCACTCATCTGTCCGTCCTTCTGTTCATCCATCAACCATCCATCCATCTGTCCCTCACACCACCTACCCACCCACCTATCCAACCACCCATTCACCCATTCATCCATTCATCCATCTATTCATCTATTCATCCACCCAAGTTTCATTTATCCGCCAAGCCAATCAACCATTCTATCCATGCRACCCTTTCATATTCTTCCACCAATCAATCTATATCCATGCATTGATATAATGTTAATTTGCATTCAAAGAAATCCTTTTTTTATTTTCCCACAGGCTGTGAAACTAACAGCTCCTGTGATTTCGGTATTCAAAGATGGCTCCAATTTTCCATTTCAAAGTAAGGGCAGCCTTTACCTAGAGTGAAGTCACTGAACCCATGAAATAGATATTAGACTAATACACTTTAGTAGACCTTAATTCCATTGTTTTCTTTTGTGTCTATTTGACTATTATACTTTGACCAGTATTTTTTATTTCACTTCATTCTATCTATTCTTTGGTTATTTGGTTGTTTTTTATACTGAAACTTGTTCACATATGTGCATTGTATCACCTATTTTTGCATAATAAAATGCAATTGTTTGTCACATGTCCATATGTTATAATGGTAAGCCACCCATATACACATAATTTCAATCCAATATCCATCCTTGCATTTCTTTACTATCTTTTCCTATTTTTGACAGTGGAATCGATGGTAATGGTAGACAATGTTACTACTTGGATAGACCAGGAAAAGTATAGTGCTTTTATCCAGATCACAAGGTCAAATATTCATGACATCTCAGAAACTGGTAAGTGACTTGCTCACAAAATACCTCAGTGACATCCAACACCAATTTTATCAAACCCTGAAACAACATTGAAATTGACTGATGTAAGTCCGGCATATTTAACTCACAGATTTAATTGGAAGGTAAGCTTGCTTGATTCTTGAATCAAGAGAGACCTAACAAACTCTACTCACATGTGATGCCACATCCATGAAAAACACACCTGAGACCCCATTACGCTATTACTACATCTCCTTTGATTCCTATTTGATGTGAGAGCTTACTAAGTGCTGCACAGAGGTAGATCAAACCAAAAAAAGTTCAGGGTTGATAAAAAAGTGTGTCAATAGCATAAAAAGGTAGAACTAATTTTTTTCAGATAGTGATCATTATAGAAAGTACAATAGTATCCAGAAGACAGTGGTCAATTGAATAATATAGAAATGATATTTCATACTCTTTTTTAGGAAAATCTATTTTGTTCACTGTGTTTGCTGAAGATATTAGCAAGAAGAAAGAAAATGAAAGGTAGTAATAATTTTTTCTTTCATTCCTTCCTTTTCTATTCTGACTTTTTTACTTTTTCCTCCATTTCTTGGCTGCTTTCCCCTCCTTCGTTCATTCATTCCTTCCTTCCTTCCCACCTTCCCACCTTTGTTCGTTCGGTTCATTCATTCCTTCATTTTTGTTAATGGTTCACACTGTCACATTACAAGTTGAGTAGTATGTCTAAGTTTATTTCAGTGTTTAATTTGTGATTTTTTATTTTATGATGTGCATATTTCTAGAGCGGGCAAGATTGTAAAGCAGACTGCTTTCCATCACAGGAACAAATATCACAGGTATATAATAAATTATGCTTGAGAGTACTTATATTCTTCACCAAGATTACATATTTAAGGAAACCTTGTGTCCTATTGTGTAGAAACCATTGTGTAGCACGTGCCTGTGGGCGAAATCTCAAAAAATAAACAAAATTAAAAAAGCAAAAAAAAGCTTGGTTTTCACTAGTGATGGAAGCACTAACGCAATCACAAGGAAAACTTGGTTCTTGTACKTGTACCTGCTGAATTCCCTGCTATTGTGCTCACTTGTGTTTGCGTTTGTGATTGCTTCGCTAGTGATGGAACCAAGCTTTTGTACTAAACCTTTAATAAGAAGAATTTACATTGTCTTGGATTCACAACAACTTTTCTCTCATGATACTGTATGTTTTTATGTTCTATTTCTGTAATAATAAAAAGGTAAATTATACACCGTGAAAAGATGAAAAAAACTTACTGACGTTTCGGACGCTAGTCCTTCGTCAGATCAAAAGAGGGACGAAGGACTAGCGTCCGAAACGTCAGTTTTTTCATCTTTTCACGGTGTATAATTTACCTTTTTATCATTACTATTTCATTAGAAACACGGACGCAGCTCACACTAGTTTTTAGCTAGTTAACTCTTCTATTTCTGTAGGCTGTTGCAGTTCGGCTGGACATTAGGAGATGAAATAACGACTAACATAATGATGAGGTAAGTTGAAAATATTTGAGCTTATTAATTTTTGACTCTTCCTTTTTCCCCCATGTCAAACCATGCATGTTCCATTCCCTTGAGTGTTATTGTTTTCGTTTGTCAGTAAAGCTGAAGAAGATAACACCAGAGGTTGTTTCAGGGTTCAATCTGTGAGTTAGGTGTGCCCTGACTTAGATCAGCCCAGAGGCTGTATTATTGATATGATTTTTGTTACTCTTTAGTTCAATGGCTTCTCCATACATCATGGTGTACAATACAACCACTCTAGTTTATTATCTATTACCTTACAATGATATCAAGGACGGTTTTACCGAAGAAAAGATGGTAACCTTTCTGGACAATGTACTGTCTGGAAAAGAGAGGGTAAGATATGAAAGGAAAGGAAAGAAAATGGAGGAATGGAAGGAGGAAAGAAGAGATTCATATAACATGACTATTACATACAACGAAGGTGTGGTGTGTGGTGCTGGAAATGTGAGCTTAAGTTCAGTTGAGTTTGGTTTTCTAGCTTGCTGCTCATGACCAAGGAGCGGGTGAAGCTCAATTGGTTCGTACGCGGCCTTCAAAACTAAAGGCCCACGGTTCAATCCTCAGGATCTCCACGTCTGTTTCGACTTCTCACTAGCTCAAGCTTTGAATAATCGTAATGAGAAGCACTGATAGTCTGAGGGGAGATAAGTGCGCACCTTCGAACGCTTAGTACGAAAATTGGGCAAACACTCCCCACGTTATCGAAATAAAAATAAATTACCTTTTACAACTAATATAATTTTATAATTTTCCATGACTCGACAAGTTTTACTTATATATTATTATATTTTTGTCTTTCTTGTGTTTTAGGGATACGGTGGAGATTCGTACTTACAGCGGGTAATACGCGTAAGTATCATCATCATCACCAACTTCCAATTCATTTGGAAATCTTGTTATTTGAGTGTCTTTTGAAAAAACCGTTACCTTGCGTTCATCGGTAGAGCGAAATTTACAGCTTAGTAAAAAAAGAACGTCTTGAACATCGTCAATTTACAGCAACGCGGTCGCCGTTATCCTCATCTTAGTCATCAATAAAATAACTATTAGCACAACTACCTTCACCATCAACATCATCAACACCATCATCATAATCATCGTTACATTGATGATATTTTTTACCAAACCATAGCGTACTCTGCAGGCGTCTCCTTGGCTCTTTTTATTCCTTGGGCTTCCTGTGGTTCTTCTCTGCCATAAGATTTAACACAGGGCTCCCAACGGAGGTATATGGGGTAGCCTGCTGAGGAGGCTAAGTAGCCAGCACAGCAGGCGTTCTTGTGGGTTTGGGGGAAAACCGGGGTTTTGGGGGAGCTTTGGAATGAGCGAAAATTGTTCCCTTTTTTTGCTAGGTCCCATTTTTCTCGCGGTCCCTTGGTCGAAACAGGAACCCCAAAACCCCATTCTTCCTCAAACCCATCAAAAGAACGCCTGCTCTGCAGGCTAGAGGCTTACCAAACCACTTTTTACATTCTTTATTTCTTTTTTAGGGAGTTTACTCATTTGTCACCTCAGCTTATGTAAGTAACTTTCGGCTTTTTAATCTAATTGTTTTCACAAAATGTAAGTAAATAATTCACTGATAAATATTTTATTTTGGAACGCAGAAATAAAGAATAATACCAACAAACCCGGTTTTTTTAAAAATATTTTCAGGAAATCTGGACATCTCAACCAATCATCGCCAGCATTATGTTTGGGCTCCCTTTGTTTTTGTTCTTGTTCATTGGTTACATGTTGTGTACTGCCGAAGAAGGAGAGGAGCAGGAATACAACGAAGACGAGTTCGATGACGAGGATGGTGAAGTAGAGCACAGAGACACACTAGACTCGCCCCCAGGAACACAAGAACAGGAGGCTACTGACAAGCAACCGGGAAAGCCTAAGACTGAGTGAGATTAGATTTAAAGATAGATGGGAGCGAAGTCCAAATCTGCTGTAAGGAGCGCTGTCCTATTTCCTTGGAGGGAGAATATGCAGGAATCATCCTGAAAATAAGAGCTAGAACTGAGTGCAAAGATGTATAATTTTTCTTTGATATATTGATGTTATTTTATCACAAGATTTTATGGTCAAGGTACATGCTTATTTCTATTATTTTCGCTTTTGCATGAGCTGTGCCACCCAACACAACGTGCAAGCTCTCTCGGACTATAGGAGTACATTTTGAGTGAAGTTCTGGCATGCGGAACGTTATAGCTTTGAAGAAATAGAATCGCGCGCGTGTGCTGTGTGTAGTTATGAAGTACGTGGGGATTGGCAGAACCAACGAAAGAAGGGTTAGGAGAAGCATGGCGCGTAGCGGAGTGCTTCTCAACACTCAACTTTTCTGCTAATTCCCAAATGCTTTCTAACTACACACTGCAAAGCAAGCAAGTTTTTTATTTCTTTTATGAAATGCAAATTAGAATAACCGCTATTTTGGACACGAGTGACAAAATAAAAAATGCGCGCGCATCCTGTGCTCTCATAGAGCACATGCTTCCATCCAATCAGAATGCGAGATTCATAAGTTATTTTACAGCAAATTCCGTACGACTGTAGTACAAACTCGCAATACGAACATGTCATTTGGCTTCCCTGCCATTCCTAATCAATAGTGCACTCAGTACATGCAGTATTGTATGTATTTTACACCTCACAAATCAGAGAGAAAACAAATATGACTGAAAGGCTACACAATAGAAACTTATACCTTATATAATTATGAATATTTAATAAACTGAAAATAAAACAAAAAGTTTGCTGTAATTAGTTTGTCCAAGTAAGTGTGTGAAGGAGGCTTGAGGGGAAGCAGTGGACCCTTGGTAGCTAGATCTCTTAGTCTCTCTCCATCACATTAATATACACCCCACCATGAGAAGATACAAACACCTGAAGAAGAAGCTATGCAGTAGGCATCTCAAAACTTGTATTGTTTTAAAATACAAATCCAGACACTTACCTCTCCAGGACCAAGATGACCTGACTGGTATCTTTTCAGATTTAATTATCAAGGTTGAAAACTGGGTGATTTGCCATTCACTGTTGTAATATAATTTTCATACCAAAAAGATAGGCCTTCAATTTGCACAAGATAAAAATGGCACGTACTTTGTTATGATGAAGCATGCACAATCATGCATGGTCAATGAAAGCAAAGAAACTTCAAATAATTTTTACGACTTCTGGGCTAAAAATAACAGCTGGTCAGCCACCAGCCATTATTTTAAGACCTGTGACTTCAATGTTTATTAATTGGCAACTTTGTTTCATGTTTTTCTAATGTAATAGTACATGGAAACTTCAATGTCTGATTGAGCATGGGAAAGATCAGCTGTCAAAATATTTCCAGTTACTAGTTGGGACTGTGTTGCCGGGGGTACTCCGCCAGAATTTGGGTAGGGGTGTTCCACTGGGATTCTGAAAGGGGTACCCTGTTTATGATAAAAACACTCAAATTTGTAGACCCAGTTTATGACAAAAGATATAATTTATTGCACCGAGTTCCTGTTCCAATTATCATGTCATCTCGCGTATCATTTTTTTAAGACCATAGTAACCAGTTTCAGTCAATACGAAAGTAGAAGCCCTGAATATGACAGGAAACTCAGGAAGAACTTGGAAGTCGAGTGAAATTGCATACCCTGTTTATGACAAGAAGCTCGAAAAACCATACCCTGTTCAGCGGATCATCCCCGTATAGTCCATATATGGGAGTACCCCCCCTGGGCTGTGTTGATGTGTTGAATAAGAAGTTGTAAAAAATGTTTGGAACTATGCAGACATTTTGGGCCATTATTTGAAGCAAAAACCTGGCACTGATAAAACACACACACACCAAACTCTGTAAATGTACATTTTTATTATTTTGCTCTCAAATTTACTTCTTCTTCATGGCTTCAGCCTCGGCCTTTTCCTTAGCTCTCTTTTCCCTGATACCAATCAGACGAGCATTAGAACGCTCAATACGCATGGTCTTGAACACGCTGAATTTCTTCTCCTCATCAGTGATTGGACGAGCCTTAATCTGTACGCTTGGTTGTTGGATCGGCATGACTTCTCCTTGAAGCTGTACAGCATTTTCCAAGTCAGCAGCCTGAAAAATTGAAAATATGTTTTATCCCATGGTTTTGAAAATGTGATAATCATTGAGTTTATGAATCTAGGAATCAAATCTATGAATCTAGGACAGTTTTAGACACCTGTCAAGTAAATCTAATAATTATTATGTAAAAATACATTTTACAATATATCTTAAAACTTCCTTTATCATCCTCTTTTTCATATTTCTAAACCCTGATATCTTCAAATGCGCATGCTTTTCAATGGCTTCTATCATTCAAATTTACAACTATGTGAGTATGTGAAATAGTTTCCATGAGTCAATGTGCATTTGTGCCATCCTCTGATGATTGCAAAATCATTATAAAATAGCATGAATTTAAACCATACCTCACTATCTCCCTGCTTGGGTTTGCCAGCCTTCCTGGGGAAGATAATCAGTTTGCTCTTGTACTCCTTAAGTCTCTGAACATTGGCCTGTAGAGACTCGGTGGATCTGTTTTTCCTTCTGTGGTCTACAGCGATTCCAATAGTTTGGGCAACCTTGCGAGGAATACCAGCAGCCTAGAATACAACATGGTAATGTTTATACTTAAACTTAAATAAGCTATTGTAGGGTATTGACATTGCCATATCTAGCTTTTTTTTGGTGTTGTGGCTTCTGTATTCGTTGTTTGCACGTTACGTCATCGCGGCCATGTTGGTACCATTTAACAAAAGATTTCTCATTAGCATCCATTGTTAACGGTACCACAATGGCCGCCATGTTTTTGTCTTTTAACTCTCTTTGGAATGCTTACAACCCATCATAGCAGTATATTTTGGGAATGCTTTGATTCAAGTCAAAAACAACAGATATTGAGCTGCCACAAAAAACACACAAACAGCTTTCCAGCTGCAATGGAGTCATGTAAATTAATCTTAAAGCATCTACCTTCTTGTAACCTATATTTAGCAATTATTAACAGCTGGTGAGTGGTTCTAATTAAAACTCTGAGTCAGTGGAAAATATCCCCAGTGTTTCAAAAGGAACCAGTCATAAATGTTTTGTTATGCCTCCCATTCGATATAATAAACCTTGATTCTCTCCTGCGCTTTGAGGGTTTTCCGGGCTCTCTGGTTTTCCTCCCTCAGTAAAAATCAACTTCTAACTTCTTGAAATCCAGTGGAAGAAGAGCTACTCTGTGGAATCCACTGTTAATCCCATTTTATTTATTTATGTATCGTTTCTTATAAGCTTACAAACTTGAGAGGGTACAATAATTGATCATTTCCATATGATGAATCTATGTGGAATGATGACAAACCATTGTACTTATGTTAAGTGCTCCTTAAAGTTAAGAATAAGAAGCCAGTGGATATCTATGGCTTTGCTTTCACTTCCTGTGGCAACCCACAGCACAATACAATATAATCACAATACCTTCAGTTCATCAAGAGTGAAACCTCTACCAGCTCTGATTTTAGTATTGTACTTGAATGTAGGACATCGTACAATGGGCCTGATGGCACCAGCCACTGGGCGGGGAGCAATCTTTATGGCTTTTTCTTTGCGAGCTGTACGTCTGCGCTTCTTGCGTCCAGGTTGATTGAACCAGGTCTTGACATACCTTTGCCAGTCTTTGTGAAAATGGGCATTAGGAATTACATTATTTCGCTTGGGAGCCATGGTGGTTTAGTTAAGGGATTGCCCTGTTGTTAAAGAAAAGGTATGTATTAGCTGAAAAGCTTGAGTGTAGACAAAAGCCAAAAGGGTTTGAGTAGAATTTATGAGGCTAAAAATAACGGCTGCTCAATAGACAGACATAATCACTGAGCATATCGCACCAATCAATATGGTTCAGTCAAGAGAACAGGCCTATTGAGAGGCATTTGGTCATTTGCCCATTGGCAAGTCATTATTTTTAGCTCTCCAACAGATATTTTTATCCTATCATGACATCTGTTAAAATGTTGATTAGTGCTAATTCTGTGACATTCATTCACTATACTTCTGCAAAACCTACTACATGGTAGATATTGATGTTACACTCTATTACCCTCAATCAATTGTTTCAAGCTGAGGCAGTTGGTTCAATACAATAACATGTATAGAAATCAATACAATAACATATATAGAAACTGACCAAATGCAACAATCGTTTAAAGGCCATATAGTGTAAACTCTAATATCTGCTAATAACAGCAACGAAACTAGTAAGTATTAATGAAAATCTAATAATTTGAGCTCTGCATATTGATTATAAAGGACTGTACACAATTAACGTGCGTTGTGAATCACTATAGAACATYGCATCATCAAAAAACGCATTGCAGCTTCCAACAACGTATCAGTAAAGATTAGGACAAACACCCAACTCGATTAACAAAGTTTTCAACGGCACGATAATATACAACATATTTCTTTACATTAAACTTTAGAACATTCTTATTTTATATTTCGACATAACTAGAATATCAAAAATAAGAAGACCGAGAAAAATAACTAAGAAACAACAATCCAAGGATAGTTTAGAAGCATATATCAGTTTTCTTATCGTGAAAAATAAACTAATGGAAAAAGATGATAAAATCATAGAAATCTATCCCTTTCCTTTACTCTTGGCAAACGAAAATTATAATTTTTCGTACAAAAATCATTCAAGTCTGAAAGTCACATGAAACTACATACAAGATAGCTTCTAGTACTATCGTAGGCTTGCAACTTCAAATGCTCTTCAGAACAAAAATATCATCTCAGCATTATTAATTCACCTTTATTCTTTCATTCTAGCTTCATTTGAGTCGGATATTATTTAGGATGAATGAGATTTTGGCTGATTATTTTGGTAATACCAACCTTCTTCCTAAATTTCCACCAGATTGAGAGAAAGAGAACGAACGAGCGGCGCGCACGGTATTGTGGATAGTACGTGCGCCTGCGTGATATCAACCAGCGGCTACCTCCATTAGTCCTCTTTTACTATTCTAAACCATGAGGTAACAATTCCTTTAACTTTATCATAAAAATTTACGTTTTTTCCCTTCTTTTTACCGAATAATGTCGACACAGCAAAGAAAAAAGACTACTCATGAATCCAATGGTGAAGTTTCTGTCTCTGAGACCTTTCACAAGGCGTTGAAATCTGGCTCTACTTGGGAAGACAAGGTGAATAGTGAACAATATGTCCCAATAAGTTTACTAAAAAAATAACGTGAAAATGGCTTTGTTTTTTTTTATTTTTTGGCAGTCAGACTACTATGTTAAAATATGGAATACCATCTTTTCAATTATTGACATCGTCTACCGATTTTTGTGTTTTCATTTTATCAGGTTTACCTATGTTTTTTTAATTTAATTTAATTTTTTATTTAAGAAACTTAAGAATAATCTTTTTATTTATTTCAGGAAGAGTTTTTGGACGTAATATACTGGTTACGACAGATYTTAGCTGTGATAATTGGTATTATTTGGGGTCTTATCCCATTAAAAGGAATTTTAGCTATTGGACTGTAAGTATTGTTTATCATTACTGCTTTGTTTAATGGCCATGTTTAACCACCTCACTGGTTTAACCCACCAGTCACATTTAGGTATTAAGGAATAGACCTCTTTATCCCTGACACAACATTCACCCCATTTCAGACCCTGTGTCATTTTCTTGAAAATAAGATTCCTTGTTTGAAGTGTATCCATATTCATATGTTATCTCATCCACAACTGGCTTGTTAAACAAAGAAATGATACTCTAGGGAATGATTAATTACCTTGGGCATCTTAACCAACCATAACCTTCCTCAGCAATTCAACCCCAAGAATTGAATGACAAAACATTCCCCCATTTTGAACCAACTGGCCAGCTCCCCACTCTGATAAATAATAATAATGGTCTCTTATTAGAGTTGCTAGGTCTTGTGGTTAGACACTATAGCAATAAAGGGGAATTCGTACTAAGGGTATGGGTATGTTATTATACAATATAGCTTAAAATGAACACTTTGTTCAAAACAAACTTTTAGTGTAAATCCCCTAACCTTTATAAAGTTTGCATAGTTTTATCTTAAGACTTTTTAACTTTGTTTGTTTTCTTTTATATTGATATGTGATTATTTTAAAAGCATTGAGATTTTTGAAACATGTTTATTGAAATTAATATATGTCTAATTTTTTTCTAGGTTTTGTTTAATAAATGCAGGTGTTGCTTATGTATACTTTAATAACTTTCAAAAGATTGATGAGGAGGAGTATGGTGGTGCGTGGGAACTAACAAAAGAAGGCTTTATGACATCATTTGCAGTTTTTTTGGTAAGGTTGTCATAGCAACATGAATCCACTGCAAAGATTTGTTACACCAAATTTGAAAGCCATTGTCGGATTCAAAAGGTTAAATCGTTGAAGCTAAGACTGAAGGCCATTCTATAGGAAGAGTGACAAAATGCTTTTTGTTAAGTTGAATCCAAGTTTAATAGCCGTTGCAAGATTTCAATATGCACAATATTAGCTCTAATAATATTATTGTTTACCCAGAATGCATGTAAGTCTTAGCCATGAGCTATGATTTAACCTTTTTTAACGTGAAAACCATTTCTAAATTTGGTGTAAGTAAATCAACTTAACAATCTGCAAATCTGAGTCAACAAAAACAATGCACAAAAAATATTGATTTAAAAAAAATTCATACTGAAAATAATCCCAAGATGTCCTTTTACTGATCCCAAAGGGAATGGAAAAAGAAATTAAAGAATTTTTATCTCCACTTTCTTCACCCTTGAGGAAATATTAAAATGATGATTTGTTTTCCATTTCAGGTATTTTGGATAATTGTCTACTCATCCCTCTTCTCTTAGTGATGGGAATCTTAATCTAGAGAAAATTCTCCATTATTATTTGCATTATTTTTCATAATAGTTAACTTTGTAAAAATTATATTATGATAATTCTACTGCCTTGCTGCTCTTTGTGAGTGGCTATGAAYATAGTATAGCCATAAAGAAAGCTTCCAGTTAAAAGACATGGTTGTGTACTTTGTAAAGTGCACTTGTCTCTCCATCTCCAATCTCCAATCTCTGAATCTTGAATGTCATTAAGAATAGCACCCCAAACAATGATGGAAAGGGTGTCAGCCTACCGTCAACCCACAGATCACCTAAATACTGATCAGCATATCAACATCAGTTTTGGGGTCTTAAAATTCTTCAATCTACAGCACATGGCATGAAAAAAGATCTATGGCATTAATTCCAGAGTTAAGGAGTAGTGATATGATTCTTTTAGCTCAATTAAGGGTGATGTAGTGGTAGTGCAACTGCCTCTCACCTTTGGGATCTTGGGTTTGATTCCTGGACACACCATCACATGAGAGTGAGTTTAGATATTTCCCTTGATTCAAGGGTTTTTTCCTCATGCTTCAGTTTTATTACTTCCTCAAAATGTGCATGCTAAATTCCAATTTGATCTGTGAATTAGCTGCAAGCTGACTTGGTTTAAGGATTTAATAAAATTTGAAGGTTTTGGTTCAGAAATGACTATGCTTATATTGTGTGGTTCCAAAAATTATCCATACTCCCCTCACGAAGGAATTTTTTTAAGACACCCCTATCCCCCGGAAATTCCATTTTTCTTCCATACAATTTCTGTAATTTTCGTTTTTTCTCTTTGGAAATTCCAAATTCCTCTGTAGGGTGGGTATGGATAATTTCTGGAACTAAACATTTGTATTTTAGTGCCTATGGATTCCAAGAGACTGGATTTCTAGTGAATGACAGTACTACTCTTCCAAGTAGACCAAGGCAGTCATAAAATCACGACTGCCTCAGATTACTGGGAAGAGTAGTAACATGTCTTGGTTGGGAGACATATGCATATCTCAGTTTCGCATGATAGTTATGTTGTTTTCTGCTATGGTTGGTCATTATTTTGTTCCAACCCTTAGGGCTTTTTGCAGACCACTTAAAACAAATTCTGTAGAAATTGGAAAGAACTTTCACTTAGCACTCTAACTTTTACTAAAATTACCAGCCATTTTCAAAATCATATAACCTTGTGATAATTGTTCTCTTTTAAGTCGTTTCAGGAAAATTAATATGATATCCCTTTTTCCCAAGAAAATTGGTCATTTTCAATACATGCCTGGTCTTATGTAACTTTCTTTAGTCTAATTGAAAAAAAAAAAAGATGGATTTATCTTGTTTTTAATGTGGAAACATAAGGGATCCACACCTATCATTCATAGTCTACAAAATTAATTATATTTTATCTACATGATCACAATTGAGGGCAGTTTCCTCTTGTTTTTTTCCAATATTCTTTCTTTTGAATGACAACTACTTATATAGACTCGGAGCAGGTGATCTGGAAAATTTTAATTTCTTTTAAAGGAAGAAGAGGAATGGCCGCCCACACAAAAGTTTCCTAATATATTGAATAGAATTTAACATTAACGGCAAAGCATTGACAATAACAACGAAAATGCAATGTTATTTCTAAAAAACTTATAATTGTTCCTTGATATAATGTATTTTTCTTAAAACTTCAGGCTTCATATTTCTGGGATTTGACCGATGAAGTGATATATGCTCGATCTCTAAGATGACCGTTCATGAAGGCTTTTTATTTATCATCTGTCCATGCAATCATTGTTTTTTTCCCTCTATACAAGGATCCCAAACAGGTAGATTTTTTCTGAGATAGTGACAGCTGTTAGCCTTGAGGCCGCAAAAAAAGCATACTGAATAGAATGAAAATCAAATTCAAAATTGTATTTCCTCTAAGACAATCAAGCAAAAGAGAATGAATGGGGCTTCTTTTCGGTTGTAAATGATACAAAAGGTTTCAATAAAATTTTCCAGTAAGATTAATCTATTGAAGACTTCCGATAGCGCGATTGACCCCTAGAGACATGTCACGCGGGTCGCGTGCTCGCCCGCGGGATTTCTGTTTGCCAATCACGTGTCAAGTGATTGTTGTGTGTGTGTTTGAAAAGTCATCTTCGAAAAACTTGAAAATGAAAGGTTAAAGAGTCCGCTACTGGAATGAGCTGATTTAAGTCTTCAACTTCAAAGCAATCTTTACCAAATTCTATCAATGAGTCATGAATGTGAAGATCCACAAATGGAAGGGACGGAAAATACTGAGATGGAAAATTTGGCGCAAAAATCCTCAAATGACGACGTCAAAGAACTAACACGCGCTTTGGTAAGCAAGTCGGGTCACGGGCTTAAATTTGGCAGGCTATTCGTGGTTAAAAACAGCTTTAAAACCTTTTAAAATGACACTTACTAATTTTGGAGTAACCAAACACTCGATATTCCACGTATTTTTTAGTTGGAAATGCTTCCACGCCGGTCAAATGTTTATTCTTGACGGGACTTCGCAAAACAGTAAAGTAACTAAACCCACGTCAAATTGTTGTATTGCCCAAAAATAATTCCCAAAATAGTTTATTGACAAGGATGTGTTTAAGTTAATATTGAGCTGTAAATAGGAAACTTCACAAGGCTGATAAACTCATTAGTAAGTTTTTCTGTGACTTCAAGTAATCTTTCATAACCGGCTTCTTTCTTAACGCTCAGGACGACGCAGAATTTGCGTTCAGAAAGTCAGCTCGCTGGCGACTGCAACACAAGAGACAAGACTTGAACCAAAAAATATATAAACAAATGAAGTTAAGAGATGGCGCTGAAAACTTATTGAAAGCTCTCAGGTAAGTAAGAATGAATGTTTATAGTTAAGTTGGTAGAGATACCGTAAAGCACACGATTCCGTGAATACTAGCAACTTTATCATGATTTGTTGTTTCACCTTCTCATATGAATGACTACTGTCTACAGACTGCTTACCAAATATTTGATCTAAATCTAAAAATAAGACAAAATAACCCTCTTCAGAATAAACTTGCGGCAATTTTGAAAAGCTACCTAGTTTAGTTCCAAAGTATTTTCCTAATTGATTTTTACTGCATTTATTATTTCGAACKTTATAGCGTATTATATGTGATAATTCGATTTAACACGTTCAATCAAAATTGTCCAGAAACAAATTCGTTGTCAAAAAAAAAACAAGATTTCGAAAACTTTGTTTTGACTAAGAAGTTCACGATTCATTAGTTCCGTCAATCATATCTTCCATAACTTTTTTTAATAAATTCTTTCTCATACCCTGTTTAATAATAATTTTCGTACCTTAACTCTTTGTTTGCCCTGTGTTTATCGATAAGCTTATCTATTGTTGTGGAGAGATAAGATTGTGATATTATGTTATGCTTTTGTTATGAGAGAGCGTACCATTTCATCTTGAAAAGTAAAAGCTTGGCTCTAGAGATGAATATTAAACTGTAGATTTATTCACAATAATATTGGACCCATTCTTTTTCTAAAAAGAATGTTGAAAAAGAATATGCTGTAGAAAGGTATGGATTTTAAATATCTCTAACTGTGCAGTGAAAATTATAGAACAGTGTATCAAAATCCTATTAAATACGAAATAATGGCAGTAGGTAGTCCAGGAGAAAGAAAATAAATCTAAGATTTATARATGTTAAGATTTTTCTTGTCCAACTCGTTAGGTACGATATTAGCATTTAAACTACGAGATAAATTAATTTTAAAGGACAGTGTTCTTGATCTGAGCAGTTCCAATATCTGTTGGCTAATAGGAAGATGGAATCCCACCTGTACTGTGCACATTAATTTGTTGTTTTAATAACYTAAAAGTTCATTAATCCTGCATTTTCACTATCAATGCTTTTCTTCAAATTTAAGGAACTCTTTATCTTCTCTGAAGTAAATGTTTTGTTCAATATTTTTAGTAGTAAGGTAAAAATAAATGCTTTGTATTACATTGGTAGTTTCATCACCTAGCAGCTGGTGCACCCCCTCTCCATCAGTGCTCTGTTGTAAGGTATTTATAGCTTTAGCCATGCTTTATCTATAGCCATGCTGCTCAAGACCAATGCGTAGGTCATGATCGGTCATGATCAATACCCTGCTGATATTAATCATCCGTCATCAACTTCAGCAAGATAGTCTTKATAGGATAGAACATTGTGATGAACTTTGATATCCAAAATACTTATTTTCTTAAACTTTCTAGACTCCCACTACCAGGAATCTCACGAAGAGAATACATGTACTATATATTTTGAGCATAATTTTTGAAGATTATTCATAATATTGTGGCTACTAACTTGATTTATATCATTGAGGTACTTCAGAGTGCTCCAGATCATGAATATATTTATGATATATAGTTCAAGAAAAGATCCATACCTCACCATGGAGTAATTTGGAAATTCTAGAGGGGAAGGGGTCAGGGACAGAACAAAATTACAAAGTTTGTTTGGAAGAAAATTGGAAGTTCCTGATGGTAGGGGGGTCCTTTTACAAATTCCCTACATGGTGGGGTTACTATGTATATTTTCTGGAACTACACAATATCACTTTTAAGTATATTGGTTTTCATACCATGGACAGAGCTGTCATGTAGGAAGAATTTGATAAAAGGCTAATTCTCATTGTATTTAGTCGTATCTTTGAGCATGGCTACCACATCTTTTGTTAGTTCATTTTCTTTTGGATGACTGTAAACTCTCACTTTACTTATTCAAGGTGATCAGGGGTGGATCAAGGTATTTGTTTGGAGGGGGGGGGGGGGTGTCCCAAATGAAGAAATGTAAATAGAGATATTGTGTAGTTCCAGAAATCATCCATCCTCCTCTCCATAAGAGAGATTGAATTTCTGTGGGGTGGGGGGTAGAGAAAGAACAATAATATTAATTAAAGAGTTTGTAAGGAACAAAAATTGGAATTTCATGGGTTAGGTTTTTTTAAAAGAAATCTTATGTGTGGGTATGAGTGAAAACTGTTGTTAATAACCTAAAAACTTTATTTAGAAAACATTGTAAGGTTATCACTTGATCACTATTGGCATGACAAATTCCATAGCCTTCATTTTTTTAAAGGGAGGATGGTAGGAATCTATCTTGCTTTTTAGACCTTACAGTAATAAATCTACTAGGTGAATCTGTTCTTGTCCGCAACACACTAGCACCACTTTTGCATAATCAAGGAAGATAATGTTGTCCAGTGTTGAACTTCATTTTCATGATAACACGAAAGGTTTCAGAAATTTTGAGAGAAAATGCATTGTCTAGATGTTGCCAGTATCTTAGCATTTTAGTATACTTTAGATTGTATTATTATTCAAAAGCTTGTAAATGTCATTAAACCAGGTATACTATATTGTTAGGTCTTTAGCTTGACAGTAATTTGCTAGTCAAAGGTGAATTTTGTTTTGGCTGGCGAAATTCACTAATGTCATAACTTTACTATGTACCATTATTAAGATTTTTTGTGCTAATCTGTTTTGTCCAAATATATTTTCCTTTTCTGTAAAACCATTTAGCCATATGTCTATAGAGGAAAAAAGTTAAATTCAAGCCCTGATTATGTCTAGCCAATTGAAATGCTCTATGATGTAAAATAGGCTTGATTCATTTTGCTCTCATATTTTAATCCCTATAAAGTTTTTGTTGTAAAAATGATGACTAGCTGTAGCTGCGCAGGGTCACTTTCCCCATCCCTAGCCTCCTCTAGGTTTCTTAAGTTCCTTATCTTTTTTTAAAACAATTATGAAAGTTGCTATTTATGTTATCATTGAGGTTATTTGCTCACCTCTTGCAGGGCAACCAATGACCGCAGGCTTAAAAAAGCTGCAAAGATGGAACTCAACTTTGCCAGTACACAACTTAATCAGCTAAGAGAGGAGCTTGAGGGGATCAACTCTGCCTTTGATGTTTACCAGTTTGATGAGTGAGTCTCGATTAAAACTAAGACCTTCCTACATTTTTAGAAAATTTATTATGATTCAACATCTTAGTCCTAAATATATATAATAATTAGAAAAACCAAACCATAGATATTAGTAAATGAAGTTTTTATGTCAACATGACATCATTTTCAAGTTCGACTCTTTCTTATTAAGTGGTTCATTATGATTGGAATGTAACGCATCGCGGAAACCATGAGGATGAAACAGGAAAAAAAAACCAGTAGACAAGGCTTTGTGATCCTAATTACTAGACATGACGCATAATATTGCTCTAAAGTTAAGTGCATCCATGTCTCTTATTACGTATGTCACAGACAGCGGTTTTCAAATGATTGTGGAATACACAATATCAACTAACGGCCCATGCATGGTAATACAGGCTATGACACTGCAAAGCATTCCCAATTTGTTTGTGTAAATCATCCTTTTACGAGGAATAGTCGTACTGTATAGGCTGTAAAATACTGCAGTCCAGTACAAATAATAGTCCACTATAAATTTCCCACTAATAATATTCATACAGTCAATATTGTTTTCAAGTGTTATTCAAAGACACTTGAATCTCTGCCACTTCAATATTAGTGTAGCATATCCAAAGTTGAATGAAAGTATTTCTTCATTTTCTCATACCTTTCTGCCCAAACTTGCAATATTCCATCAAAGTACCGGTACCGGGGTTATATCTTTTTGTACCTGTCTACTTGATCTCTTACAAGTTCGCTTAAGAGATAGAAACCAGACAGAATTATTTGCACACACTCACGTACATTATGTAGCACTGCCTTGCAATAATCAAAGAGGTACCAGGGTTATAATATTTGTACTTATCTCTTTAGGAGCATGGAAAAACAAATACCAATGATCTCTCTTGGCTTAAGAGAAACAACAGAATTAAATTTTAAGGTTCCATTCATGGTAGGTATAATTGAAATTCAACTTCAAGTTTTAGTTGAAATTTTTCTTAAAAATTTAGCACATTAAATTATTACATAAATATTATTTATTACACTAATTTACAGGCTTGTAAGGTTTACAATCATGAATTAATTGATTCCTACATTCTATGTGCTGTTGGACTGAGATTTACAAAAAATCTGAGACCATTGATTCTTTAAACACATCGAAATTTTTGTGATTGATGATTATAGTCAACCTTGTGTTTTGCATATTATATCATTTGCAAATCTAAATGCACCTCGTGTTTAAGAACTTCTTGGTACAGATAACTCCACACCAATTCTATCCCCCCTATTGGATATTTTCTGAAACTAAATAAAACAATATGATACAATTATTCTAGCCAAATGTTCATTTTAACATTCCTATATTCTTTTTATTTTAGGATTTCATTGCAGAGCATTATTCTGAGGACCCAGAACAATATGAAATGGAGCTTCAAAAATTCAGTGACATGAGAAAGGTAAAAGTTGTTTTATTTAAAAGAAAGAAAACAGCTTTTTTTCATGCTTCATTTCGTAATACAGGATGAAAGGAAGTGACAGAAGCAAAGAAAAAATTCTGAAAGTAGCACAAGTACTGCAATCCTGAACAAATCACTTTTGAACGAAGCATTCTTTCTGAGCACACTTCATTCTTTTCGCTCCCACTTCCCTCAAAATCAATGTTGTTCCAAACAGGATGGATCCAACTGGAAATAAAAGCTAGAAAAATCAACATTGAACATTGGGGGACAGGGGAGGAAAAGGAGRAAAAAAAAGGAAGAGAAAAACTGTCATTCTTAATTTTAGTTGTAAAATGAAACCAAATTATTATTTGTCTCATGAAATATGCCCAAGATTGAAGGCAAGGATGACCTATTATGAGGAGGCTAAGGGATGATACCAGACACTGTCTTCTAAACTAAACTCTGGCTTATCAAACGTTTTGCTAAAATGATAATAATAATTTATTATGCTATTTCTTGAAGGGTATATGCAACCCCAACCGAGATGAAAAAGGCATCCAAAAGCTCTATCAATATTTCAATCAGTTACACTTTATAGAGAAGAAGTTCTTTTCCAAGAAAACTACCATGCCCGTCTACTTTCACTGGTAGGTTTCAAATGATAGTATTTCGTAAGAAATACATAAGAAATAAATAAATAAGGTATTAACCAACCTAAAGCCGGTCCAGATAGGGGAAAACAGATATGAAATAAAAAATTATTATAAGTAATATATACAGTATAAGTGGCCGTGTTGTATCAGATATTCAACCATGAGGCGTAGCCAAGTGATTGTATATCTGATACAACATGGACATGAATACTGTATATGACTTATCAAACGTCTAGGTTAGTTTCTTTGTGTTTCACTAAAATTTTCAAAATTAAAGTGAATTTGGCCAAGAAAATCCAACTTAAAGTTTATGCAAATGAACACGATTCTGTATCAGATTTACAACACTCTTCACGGTCGTGATTTCTGTTGTGTTTTCCTCCTGAATTATTCATGACTTTGATAATAATATATATATATTGCATATTGAAAGGATATATTGTATCCTTGTCTCAAGGAAGGTCACTTTTATTTAAAGAATCTCAAAGCAAAATATTGAATACCTTTTTGTTTATTTTCTTGGCAGGTATGATGCTTTGTCAGGACTTCCAAAAATACAAAGATCTGTTGCTTTTGAGAAGGTAAAACACTCACTCACCACACCACACCACATCCACCAATCCATCCATCCATCCATCCATCCATCCATCCATCCATCCATCCATCCATCCATCCATCCAT